CCTCTAAGGTTTTTTCCTGGGTGCAAGTACTTGATTCAGGATTTTACAGCTGATAGTAGGAGGAAAACTTGGCTTTCTGTCTTTCTTTTCTTTTCACTTTCAAATGTATGTGATTGATGATCCACCACCATCCTGCTGATGATGTCAAGATAAATGAGAATAATCAACTCAAGTTATGACTTCAGAGAAAATGGAACAAAAACTGGAAAGATGGAGAAATAGTCAGTTAAAAACTTTCCACCTGCCACACAGCAAAGCGAAGGGCAACTGTGAAATAGGAGGAAATATTCACAGACCATACATCTGATAAATCATTAGTACCTAAAATGTGTAAGAAATACCTACAACTCGATAGCAACAAAAACATTAGCTAGAAAATGGACAAAAGACTCAAATAGACATTTCTGAAAAGAATAACTATGATAGAGGTTCAATTTTATTCTACTACTGTATTTCCAGTTTTCTCAGCCCCATTTGTTGAAGAGGCTATCTTTTCTCCAACTATGTTTATGGCGCCTTTGTCCAGTATGAGATAACTGTATTTATGTGGCTTTGTCTCTGTGTCTTCTCTTCTGTTCCATTGTTCTTCATGTCTGTTTTTGTGCCATTTTTGTTACTATAGCTCTGTAGTATAATTTAAGRTCTGGTATTGTGATGCCTCCTGTGTGGCTTTTCTTGCTGAGGATAAGTTTTCCAAATGAATTTCATGACTGATTTTTCTAACCAAAGTCAGAATGTTCTCTCTGATATGTGGATGCTAACCACAACAAGGGGGAGGAAGACTAGAAAGTCACTGGATTAGACAAAGGTGTATGAAGGGAAGGGAGGGGGTTGGCGATAGGAAAGACAGTAGAATGAATCAGACATAACATTCTTATCCTTATATATATGAATACATGACCAATGTAACTCCATATTGTATACATCCACAATAATGGGATCCTAACTGGAACAAGTTATACTTATTCTATGAATGTATAATATGTCAAAATACTCTCTAAGTAAAATAAATAAAAGAAAAACTCTCATGGGAAATAAAAAAAGAATACATATGAATGGCTAATGAGCATATGAAAAGATGCTCAACATCACTACTCAGGGAAATGCAAATGAAAACTATAGTGAGATGTCATCTCATACCCCTTAGGATGGCTATCATCAAAAACAAGAAAACAAAAAGTAACAAGTGAGCCCCAGAGAACTGGAACCCTTGTATATTACTTGTGGGAATGGTTGGTTGGCTTAGCCATTATGGAAAACAGCATGGAGTTTCCTCAAAAAATTAAAAATGCAACTACCATATGATCCAACAATCCCACTTCTGGGTATATAGTCACAAGAATTGAAATTAGGRTTTTGAAGAGCTGTCTACACTCACATATTCATAGCAGCATTAGTCACAATAGTGAAGATATAGAAACAAAGGTGAAAGTTTCATCAACAGTTAAAGAAAATGTGATAATGAATTATTGTCTCGGAAAAGTAGGAAATCCTGCCATTTGGCAGTGAAGATGAACCTGGAGGACACTGTGCTAACTGATATAAGTCAGTCAAAAAGGACAAATACTTCATATTACCTTAATGATTAGGATCTAAAATAGTCAAATTCATGGGAAGTAGAATGATGGTTGCCACGGAGGGGGCAGAAATGGAGAGTTGCTGTTCAACAGGTATAAAGTCCAATTAWAAAAGACGAATCAGTTCTAGAGATATGTTGTACAACTCAGTGCCTGTAGGCAACAGAAGGGTATTTTGCACATGTTTAAAGGGGGAGAGAAAGAAGCATGAGCCTGTAGTCCCAGCTACTCAGGAGGCTGAAGCTGGATCAATTGAGCCTGGGAGTTCAAGACCACACTGGGCAAATGGGGTAGACCCTGCTTCTTAAAACAAATCAATAACAAGTCAAACAAAAAATTTTAGGAGTTTATATCGCATGTCAAGTGTCTTACTATAACACACCAAAAATTACTACATTCAAGAATAAAATTAATTTATGGGTTTGCAGATATAGTCATTGTTCTCCCCTAAGGACTGAATTGAATTTATTATTTTATTAAAGATATTTATATCTAAGTTCATAATTTGAATTATTCTGTGATTATTTTATACTAGTTTTGTATAAGGTTATGCCAGATGGTGCAATGAATTGGTTATTTTTCTTATTTCTGATGTTTAGTAAAGCTTGCCTATAAGTCTACTTGGCTATTGAACTTTTGTGCTTGCACATGTGACTGAGGCTTAAATTCCATTAAGGTCAAAGTTATTAGCTTATGTAGGCATTCTCAACATTTTATTTCTCTTTAAAAGTTAATTTTGATAATAGTATTTTTTAAATATGAGCTTTTTGAGGTTTATGTCATAATCCCTTTTTATGTGTGAGAAAAAATGAGGCTTAAAAATAAACTGGAYATAGTGTACAGTAGTTCCTCAAAAGATTACAAATAGATTTACTATATGAGCCAGCAATTCCACTGCTGGGTATATACCCAGGAAAACTGAGAGAAGGGTCTTTGAATAGGTATTTGTAGACCAGTGTTCATAGCAGCATTATTTACAGTAGCCAAAAGGTGGAAGAAACCCAAGGCTTGTCAGGAGATGAATAAACAAAATATATGTGTGTGTGTGTGTGTGTGTGTGTGCATGTGCCTGATGTTTTTGCTGATTTAAGGATGCTGGTTCAAAATGTGGTTGTGGGGGGCATGGGAGGATCAGATGAACTCTAGATGAACTCAAAGGGGAGGGAGGGGAAGTGAGGGGGCATGGAGGTAGGAAAGACTGTGGAATGAGGTGGACATCATTATCCTAAGTATATGCATGAAGACACTAATGGTATGACTCTATGTACAACCAGAGATATGAAAAATTGTGCTCTAAATGTGTAATAAGAATTGTAATGCATTCTGGTTTCATATATGATGACAAAATTTTTTAAAAAAGCATCTTGGGAAAAATCTGGTATTTCCATAGAAGCATCATGTGATCTTCAATGGGTTTTGTTGCATGCCTTCTAAGATGTGGATTTGTTTTTATTTGGAGCAGTGAGGGAAGGGGTATCATAATCTTTGGGCCTGCAAAATGAGGTTGCCAGATTTGGTGTGCAAACACTGGATGTTGTGCAATATTTGGTGTGTTTTGACACTGAACACATTCGTTATTTATCTGGATTCAAATTGAATTGGGTGTCCTGTATCTTGTATGGCACCCCTATTCTGAGGACTTAATACAGCCTTACTGACAAGGGTTACAAAACATGTGTGGACCCACCATGAGAGTCAGGACAGGTGTCCCACCTGAAGCCAGCACATGCTCACGTCACAGGGAGAATCTAAACCCAGGTCTCTTACTCCATGAAAGGCCAAAGGGGAGAGAAGTGCATTTATCTTTGAGGGAATCATTTAAGAGAAGGCTTGTGAACAGTTGAAATCATGAGAAGTGCAAACTCTTTTAGCTCTATTCATGAAGGGTGGAGGGCAGGAGCTTGAAGTCCAAAGCAACTCTGGATTGGTTGTCTCTGGATTGGTCCTTATCCAACATGGTGGACCACAGTCTAGAATGTTGGAGCCCTCAACTGAGCTAGAGCTGGTTTCCTCAGAATTGTGAGCAGAAAGGCCACCCATGTCACAGTGAGGAGCCCCTGGTGCATTTTCACTGTTGAGGGGAGGGCTCCTGTCCCCTTCCTGACTCAGCTGTCCCAGRAAGCTGCCGTTAGACAGTGGATCTGTGTTACTTAGACTTTGAGGTGCTATAGAACAATGGGCACTTTCTCAGCTGGCTGCTTTCTCTAAGAAATATCTTCAGGCTAATRTTTAACTGGGAAAGGAATTACGAATTTCAAATCCATTTGCCAAGAGACGCAGATGGCCACAAGTGTTCAGGAACATAAACCAGGCACAGAAGAGGGACAGGGCCAATCCCACAGTACCTTTATTTATCAAACTGAAATCTTTTGTACATACAGATGTGAATCTGTTCTCTTAATTTAGGAAAAGTCAGTACGAGCCTCTCATCAAAMAAGCATTTGAAAAATAAAACCAGTTCCCTGAAGCATTTGGGATAGCAGCCATCTTAACCCCAGTCATGACTCAGAGCTGGGCCAAAATACATCTGGAGGRGACAAAAGAGACTTCAGGAATCTGAATTTACAGCTGTTTAGTCCATTAAAAGAACATACATATGTGGGTTTTGAATTTTCCTTTTTTGCGGGGGAGATACCAGAAATTGAACTCAGGGGGACTTGACCTCTAAGACACATCCCCAGCCCTATTTTGTATTTTATTTAGAGACAYGGTGGAGTTGCTTAGTGGAGTTGCTTAACACCTTGCTTTTACTGAGGCTGGCTTTGAACTCGCGATCCTCCTGTCTCAGCCTCTTGAGCTGCTGGGATTACAGGCATGTGCTCCTGCACCCAGCTCCTTGTTTCCTTGTTTCAAATTATACACATTCTCAAAAAAATTAGCCAATCAAGGGATTTATTATAATGGGTAAGAATAAAGTTAATATAAAGAAGGCGCTAACTTGTAACACCATTTTTTTCCTCCCTGTCCTGAMAAACATGCTACTAGGTCAGGTTCTGATAGAACCAGATTATGTCAAAAGGAGGTTATCTTTCCCTTACTTCTGTGATTTCCTGGGCTTCCTATGTGGAAAACAGTTGGTACTCTCTGCTGGAATATGTCCAATGACATTCCTTGTCTATTGTAGAATTAAGAGTTTAACATTTTCATAAGGAAATAAAAGGAGATCCACACTCTGCTCTACCCTATTACAGTCTCTTGTGATATTTTATTTGTTGAAATCCCAAAACGCAAAACTTAAAAAATACTGTTAAAAAACCAACAGAATATTCAATGTTGAAAAAGTTTTATTACAAATAATGTTAAAAAAAAGAGTCAATGGGTTCAACTTACATTTTAGACTATTTAATAGAAACATTTGTTGCACATGTGGTTTTAGTTTAACATAAACATGTTTCTCTGTGAAAATCGTTAACCTGAGTTGGAAATGAAATCTGAATAGAAGATATTTGAATTTGGAAAAAATAATTTTCCTCAAGATATTAGCAATGATTCCAATTAAGGATTTTGCTGGAAGCTCAGGACTCAGCCCCTGGACAGGAATGAGGGAAAACTCCTTGTAGGTCGAAAGCTGTGTTGAGGTCATAAGACTGCACCTGTTGGCCTTTAATCAGGGTGAGCTTCCTCAAACACCCCCGGAACGAGGCCCGGCTGCTCAGGCAGTTTTGCTTGACATTAGCTGTTACAGAAAGGAAAAAAGACACATCCTGTTTAATCTTGTGGAATGAGATAAGAGAGCACAATAGGAACAAAAATAATTTCAAGTGTGTCCTCCATCAAAACCAGAAGGATATTTTTCCACATGTGCCTGGAGTGACTAGCAGAAATCACAGAAAACTTGTAATATGTAGTAATTTTAAGGCACAGTTGTGAATTTTTAAAATTTTTTTTAGTTGTTGATGGGCCTTTATTTTATTCATTTATTTATATGTGGTGCTGAGAATCAAACCCAGTGCCTCCCACATGCTAGGCAAGAGCTCTACCACTGAGTCACAATCCCAGCCCCAGTTGTGACTTTTATCATACAACAGATGTTTATTATTTGTAATAATTTCTTGAAACATCTAAAATACATACTTCTAATCCAAAATCTATGTGAAAGGATGAGTCACAGGTTTGTCTCCTAAGATGATTCCCAACTTTGGGAGTCATTTAAGGTGACTTAGTAAAAGCATTCATCTTATTTCACACCAGATCCAATGTTCTCAAAGGCTTACCTAATGATTAGTTGGTGTTTAGATTTTATTTGGGTAGGGGTCCTGGGGACTGAATCCAGGGGTGCTTAACCCCTAAGCCACATTCCCAGCCTTTTTTTTTTTTTTTTTAATTTTGAGACAGTGTCTCTCTAAGTGGCTTTGGGCCTTGCTAAGTTGCTGAGGCAGGCTTTGAACTTGTGATCTTCCTGCCTCAGTCTTCTGAGCCACTGGGATTACAGTTATGTCCCACCATGCCTCGCTTAATTTTTAATTTTAGTTTTTCCAGAATATTTTAGGTTAGTATTTGTAATAGCTTTTCTAAAATGGAGAAGATTTTGTCACCCAACCAAAACCTCCTCCATAGCATGCTGAAGTAAGACATCCCCAAGTGACCATGCCCCATCATGTGGCTCCGTAGAGCAGGTTTTCATGCTTACCAGGATAGCCACCAACATAGATGGGATTGTTGGTGTCGGCCGAGGTGGACTGCGTGTGTGGACTTTCAGCACTGACTGTATTCCCATCCACTGTCAGAATGACCCGGTGTTTGCTTTTGTTAGCTTGAAGTGTGTGCCATCTTCCATCACAGAGAGTCCTGGCAGCTCTGGGCTCATAARTGGCTGTTATCCTACCAGCACCGTTGTTGACATGAAACAAGAGCTGAAGAAAGCCAACATCGTGGTGAGTTTTTCCAAGTTTAAGGAACACAGGACATTTGTACAATGCTCTTGGAGAGGATAAAGTCACAGGAGTATGTTCAAAGGAGGGCTGACCATGAGAAATAATGGTGTTTAAAAAATAGTCTCCTTGAGGACTCACACACTATGCTGTTCCCCAAAAGGGTAAAACAGGACTCATACACTGTCCTGTTCCTCCATGGTAACAAGCTAGAGCCACACTGTGCCCTGGGACTAGTGCCCCACTTTCAGGGCACTAGGGGACATTTTCAGGAATTAACAGGCCTACAGARGCTGTCAGTTGATAACACCTACATGGGAACATTTACTAACTCCCCCTGACAAACTGTAGGTAGATGTTTTACAACAGCGAAAAGCCAACAATAGTAAATCTCAGCTCTGCAAACAATGGAGGTGTTATGGGTTGATTGATGTCCAAAATTCATACACTGAAAGTCTCCCTCCAAATGAGACTATATTTGGAAATGGAGGCTTTAAAGGGTGATTAAGTTAAAATGAGATCACTAAGGTAAGACCTTGAGAAGATACACACAGAGGTAAAACCATGAGAAGACCCAGGGAGAAGACAGACAGCTATAAGCTAAGGAGAGAGGACCTCAGAAGCAATCAATCCTACTGGCATCTTGGTCTCACAYTTGCAGTCTCCAAAACAATGGGAAAATCAACTTTTGAAGCCCAAGCAGACTTGGAAGGAGGAACGAATTTGAAGTATATTGCTGCAAGGTTCTTACGCTATCTATGAAGCCACCCAATATTACTTCAAGGTAGGCCTCGACAAATTAAAGATGTATTTTATAAACCTTGGGAAACCACTAAGAAAAGTTTTAAAAGAACAATAAGCAATAAGTCAATGACAGAAGTAAAATATACAATGCAATAAACAAGTACATTTTTTGAACCTATTGTACTTCTGATAAGTGTTTTTAGATGCCATATAAAAATGTGCAAATAGATACAAAGTTTTAAAACTTCTTTTAAAGTATAGATAAGGGGAAAAGGTGGCTATAAACTGTAGGGGTTCTCTGTTTGGGATTGGGGTCTCTAAAMAACTTTGTGATTGTGGCATGTTTGGTGGCTAGGAAGTTTCTGTGCAAAGGTACAGAATTCCTGGCTGCTGGAAACTTCCATAGAAAAGACATGGGATGCCTGGCTGCTGTAGCAATGTTCTTCAACAGGGTTTCGACCTTGATCTTAGGTACATAACTCCTGGGAATAAAGGAATTTGCTTGCTTGATAATTACAATGTTTCACCAAGCTCAGGTGCTCCTGGATCTGCCTGTCTAACAGTAACTTCAGACAATGAACTTTCTTGAGAGCTACACAAAGCTCCTAACATTACAATATTGTAATTGTAAACTGTAACTACAAAATAAGCAACCTCACTGATACTCTAAACAATAATGTAGTTATGGTGCTGATGACCTAACGTAACCTATAGGCATAAATAAATGTGGCCACTTGGAGAAAGGCCCACTCTACCTCCTTCCCTGCCTCTGCATCTTGTCTCRATGTGTYGCCCTTTATTATTATTATTCCTCACAATAAACTGCAGCATAGAGAGGCAGAAAAATGATATAGAGGTAGTTTTGTTTTGACAGGAGAAATAAGAGGACAGGGGAGGTGAAGACAAGGGTTAGAAAGGACTTTCCCAGGCCATCCCCACCCCCACTGTAGGATAGACTAGGGACCAAAATCCCAGTGGAGAGTCCGGTAGGGAACAGTAGAAATAGCCAGGTAAGTCTGGGGGCAACTTTGTTTTGTTCCTTGCCTTTCAGGAAGAAAATTCCAGCATGTTACTCCTTCAACAATATGACTTGGGTATGGTGCAGCAGAAATGGTGGCAGGTGCATTTAAGTAGAGAAAGGACATGAGAGATTAACCATCCCTGATTCCCTGYGGCCTATATATGGCCTGGCAGAAATTTCCAAGTTCTCACATGTCCCTGGGGAAATATGGAAAGTGGCTAAAGGTGAAAGGGCATCAGTGACGGTGACAACAGGTATGGGACGGTGATATCAGGGACGCTGGTCAAATTCCAGGAGCAGTCCCCCAATGCAGTGGCAACGCTGAGATCCTAAACCACTCCCCAGTTGAGTGCAGGGAGCACAGTGGCTGCCACCAAGACCAGGAGTGTGAGCTACACCTCAACTGTTGCCAGGAAGAGAGTCACAGAAGGCAGAAGGACCATCTGGTTCCCCCCACCCTGTGCTCCCAGCATCCCACAGCTTCCTGTGCCCAGGTAGCCCCTAGGGGAGAGGAAGGGGGTGAACACTGGGAGCAACTCTAGAAGAGGCAGAAGAGATGAGAGTATCGTAAATGGTTGAGTTCATTTTGTTCCCAGCAGGAGGGGAGCATGAGAGGCTGAGAGATAAGAGCAGAAGACTTACGGAAAAATATTTTTAACATCAAAAAAATCAGATGACAGCACATCTATCCAACCCATGGAATGATACTTTGCTATGAGGCATGAACGGTTGATGCACACAACCTAGAAGAAATCAGGCTAAGAAAGCCAAGGTCAAGAGGATGCATGAATTCCTACATGAATTCATTTATATAGCACTTAAAAAATAACAGAGATGGACAACAGATTAGTGGTTGCCAGGGGTCAGGGATGTGGGGCAGTGGCTGTGGCTATGAAGAGGTAGCTTTGGAAGCCTTTTGACAGTACAATGAAGTATCTTGCTTGTGGTGATGGTGATGGTTGTGTGATTCATGTGTGAATCACAAGCCACACACACACACACACACACACACACACACACACACACACACGTTTACCTGTATAACTGGTATAACCGCACAAGCTCTGTGGCTTGCACGGTGTTGATGTCATTGATGTCATGGTTTTAATGTGGCACTACAGTTATGCACCATGCTACCCTTGGGGGCCCTGGGTGAAGGGTGCATAGGGACCTCCCTGTACACTTCATTTCAACTTCATATGAATCTGTAATTATTTCCAAGTGAAAAATTGAAAAACTATTAGAAGGGACAGGGCATCAGGGTGGCACTTACTACAGGTAAGGCTCGGGGGGAAGAAAGCTCTTCGTGTTGTAGTTGCAGTTATTCAATAGTTTAATTTCAAATATATAAAATAAATGATTTTAAAACAGCTTTTTAGGATCATCTGTTTTTAAAAATATTAGTGGAGCCTTTCTTAATTTCACTAATGAAGTGGGTAATGGGAAGTTCGGATCTGTTTGTTTCTCAGCTGCTCTGTCTCTGACCCTGGGAGGCAGGGCGAGCCCATCAATATGAAGTACCTACCTTGCCACTGACAATCTCTAGGCCAATGGCATCCACTTTGGCACTGCTGATCCCCAGGAGGACACCGTTTTCTGAGGAGGTACGAAACTCGAGTGTAATGTTTAAATCTGACCGGACTCTATAGCCTTCTTTGACTGAAAAACACAARGACAGTACTGAGTCAGGGTTGAGTCCTGCGGGGCCTCGCCTGGCTCAGGCTAAGAGGTGCAGACAGGGCTGGCTGTGCACCTGGCCTGTTGACTTAGGGTCAAGATCTGGCTCCAGCTCCTCTTCTGAATCCAGCTTCTTCCCCACCAGCAAGTCACTCTCACCCAACCCTTTGGGATTGCGCTTTCTCATCTATAAGAAGGAATACTGCTTTTAAAGAAGACTCGCAGTCAGCTGTGACAAGTCAGAACAGAGTGGAAGCAGGCAATCCTTCATCCACAGCCATGGGAGCATGTGGCACTGTCCCTTATGGACACATCTGTCTGKGGCAATCTTTCCCATATGCTGTTGGGGCTTCTGTCCTGTGTATCCTTTCTTCATTATATTTCCAGGCTCTATCCCTAGTACCAGGTCTATCATTATTGACTGAGTATATGAGACTCCAAACTAGGATTTATAAAAGTACAGATTGAATTGAATGATTTTTTAATTCAGTGATAAAAAAGCTAAAAAACCAAACCAGGAATGTTAGCAATTACAGGCAGTGTCACCATGCTGGAGGCTGAAGGATAAATGGGAGCACATCTTGTTACCAGTGCCTAGCAGCCAGGGTCCCAGGGGAGCCGAAATCATGGAGGGGGTCCTGAGCCTCGGAGGCGACAGGAAGCACTAAGTGAAGTTATATTCCCTTCCCCCTCCCTGTCCAAACTCCTGGGCACTGAGGATCTAGATAGTTCATGTAGCTGATTTTTAATTCAAAGGCCTTTATTAACTCGGGACAGTAAATGTGCTTTATGGCTACTTGGTGAGAGTATGGGGAAGCCAGCACCCACTGTCTGCCCTCTGTCAGGAGTCCAGTCCCATTCTGCCATCTGCAGCACACAAGACCTGAGGAGGCTTTTACATGAACAGGTGAGACATCAGAAATACCCAGGAACACTGAACTAAATATGGTCTTCCTGGGCCCTACCCAGCTGGGTCCTGTCTTGGATCCTTGTCATCTTAGAATATACATCAATCCCTAAGATTTCTTTTGAGACTGTTGATAATACATACCAAGAGCTGCATATCCACTTCCATCAAAGAAAGTTCCTTCTTGGGCCGTGGTATAGCACCTGCCTACTGCAAAGGCAGACACTGGGCTGTCCTTGTCCAGCTGTTTGCTGTTAACTGACACCTCACCAATGCAGGCAGGAATGCTGTGGGTGATCTAAACCAAAGGATATGGGAGAGCAGGGATTATAATAAGGCTAGGACAAATTGTTCTTGTACTTAAATTCATTTCAATAAAACCCATTATAATATTGTCTTTTGGTTTTTAAAACTTAATTACCATAATACTTCACATGAACATTTAACTTAAARCTGCTATTGGAGTATCTTTGCTAATAATGCAGTGAAAGCATTTTCTATTATTTTAGTGAAATATTGTGCAAATCAAGAATGCTGGGTACTCTATGTGCAAATACAAATTCACTGGATTTTCCTGAGTTGTTTTGGGACTAAGTGGCTGTGGAAAGTGAAATGTTCTTAACTAATAAAAGGAAAAGCTGGTTGGGCTTCAGGGGAAATCTGTAATACAATATCTATGAACATGATTGAAAAGGTCTGCACCTTGCAGGTGAGTGCCAGGTTCAAACAAGATGATTTWAAGATGATTTAAACTTTAGCTTGTTAAGAATTACATTCTCCTACAAAATTATCTTCTCCTACAAAATAAACAAAACCATAACAAAGGTAACATGGACCCAAYGCAGAGAATGTTGCTTACATTTCCAATGTTCCTGGCCCTGTACTGGGAGGGAAGGCCTCCCAGGTACAGCATCCCCTCCACGTCCAGTGTGGTTCCATCTCCCACCATGGTCACCATGGGGGATTCTTGGCCATCAACAGCCATAACTCCTTTTCTTTTAAAGTACTCTGTCTTGACCTACAGCAGAATGAAAACATCCATAATTTTTAAGCAATCTGAGAAACTTTCAACAGATACATGTTTGAAATATATATTCCTTTTAGCTGTAATAGCTTGAAAAAAAAAAAAACCTAATGGATGGCTTGGATTTTTGCAGTTGGTGTTGAGAACAGGCTAAACCTGGCAGAAGATGGGAAGCAGACTGTATATCAGAGAGTATTACAGAAGCCTAGGTTATTAGAAATAAAATGCCATGATGGGTGGCTTGGTCCCTACCCCACAGCTGGGCTTTCTTTACTTCTCATGAAGTTGAGAACATTGTTGATAACTCCCATCCATCCTGCTGATGCTTGCTGAGCATCCATTAGGTGCTGGGTACCAAGCAAGGCTCTGAGGATGTTTCAGGAAGCATAAAAAGAGCCCTACCTCCAAGGAGCTTCCATTCTCTGGGGGACATATCAGACAGAAGGCAATCTAGAGAATAGCAGCATTTCCTCCAGGGAAAAGGAGTGAGCACCAGAGATCAATGGAAGAAAGCTCAGAAGGGGTAGCCATGAGCCTCCCTAGAACATACCGTGTGCCACTTGCCATCATTGAGCAGCGTGGGGTGAGTGACCTTGGTTCGGCCTTTGCCAAGGTCAAACATGAAATGGAGATAGCCCCCGTGGAGCTGGAGTGTGGCATAGTCCACTTGGTTCTGATGAGCCATGTAGTAAATCAGACCACTGGAGGCAAATGTCCGGATAGTTAGCTGAACCAAGAGCCTGGAGGAGAACAAGAGCTCAGCATCAGAAAGACAGAGGCTGTTCTTAAAAGTTTTAAAATCAYCTTGAGGGGAGACCCCAATCATTGTTTTGGCATCCATACTTAACATCTCAARAGTGAGAGGCATCTGCTCCTTTATCCATTTGTGCATCCATTCATTTAATTGATAGCTACTGATCCCTGTCTGCTAGGAACTGTTCTAGGAGGAAGCAGTAACAAGGGGGAGGCTCCTTCTGTCATGAAATTAATGTCAGAAATGTATGAGAGTTCTAACCAGGTCACAGAGAGGCTGAGTGGGGACTGTGTTGGGCAGTTAGGAGGAAGCTCTGACAAGATGGCATTTCAGTTGAGATCTGAATGATAAAAAGGAGCAAGACCTGGCCCAGCTGGGTAGGACAATCTTTGATCAGTTTTTTAAAAATACAGTGTGCTTTAAAATAGGGGTTTGATATGGTTGACAGTCCAGAATCTCCACCTGGGGTGGGCTGGGAGCTGGAGCCACTGCAGGAGGACTGGAAGGTTATACCTGGGCAGGACTCCTTCAAAAGGACACAWGTCACYACATCTTCCTGATCCACCTGACAGTGAGACATCTCAGAGGGTCTTTAGAATAAGACCTAGCCTGGTGCAGTGGYRCACACCTGTAGCTTGGGAGGCYGAGGCAGGAGGATTGAGAGTTCAAAGCCAGCCTCAACAACTTAGCAAGGTCCTAAGCAACTCAGTGAGACCCTGTCTCTGAATAAAATATAAAAAAGGGCAGGGATGTGGCTCAGTATTCCTGGTATCAAAAAAAAAAAAAGAAAAGAAAAGAAAAAAAGAACACTACTTACCTCCTTCTGACAGCTGACTGATTAAAAGGCAACATCAAGTGGCTGCTTTGTGAGAGGCCAAACTGGTAAGCACCAGGCACATAACCTGGAGCAATGTCCACTGCACACTGTTCCTGCAAGAGACACAGAGGAACACTCAGCCACAGCTGCCAGGATATTAACACAGATGTATTCTTTCAGGGAAAAAAAAAATCTCTGAGAAGATATTGCACCCAAATAGGAGCAAGCGCCAGCGTGTCTGCACAGGTTTAAATCTTTAGTTGAAATAACACTTGACAGCCCCTTTTCTCTGAGAATGTGATTAGAACCTCTTTCATCTTCAYCCACCCAAGTTCACTGGCCTTTATAGTGACACTATAGTGACACATTGGAGTCCCTCCCATCATTTTCATCAAGSCCAGGGGGCAAAGGCCTTGCTGTCCCTCTTTAGTCTCTATGGATGACCCTGAAGGTGACTGTGGCCAGCACAGTTCCAGGAGAGGGAAGTACCCRTAGGACTTATGGGGCCTTGAGTTTAAATAGTGGGGTTACAAGGACTCCTAGAACTGGGGCGCCCAGGGAGGGTGCCTGGACAGGTACTGGCTGCCTCACAGTGCTTCATCTTGACCCCAAATCAAGAGAAGCCCCGTATGTCAGTTTTGCATCTTGGGATTGGCAGATATAACCAAGAAAACTGTCCTGAACTCAAATGGGCCCTGCTTAGAAGGTACTGCATTTTGGACAACTGGGCCATAGTCTAAATTATTAAAGTACATCCTGCCAACCAGAGAAACAGAGAAATCAGGAAGGGAGAAAGTGAAAAGAACAACAACTGGCTTTTCCCCAATGAATCAAGTCTCTCTCTCTTTTTTTTTTCTTGAGCAACAATGATGTATACAGTGGCTTATATTAAGTACTTATTTTCCCGTTTCCCCAACTACATCTAAAGTGATATTGAGGCATTATAGAAATGCTGCCAAAAGAACTTGCTATCTATGTCAGCCCAGTCAGGTTGCCTGAGCCTTCTGGCCTGCAGCCAAAAACACGGGTGGTGTCACCTCGAGGTTGGCTCAGAGCACCCTTCTCCACCTGTTCTCTGTTCTGCTGTTTTTAAAAGTTTTTAAAATCACCTCGAGGGGAGAACCCAATCACAGGAAGGATGATCCCTGGGAGTCACTTTCCCAGGCTCCTTTGACAAATGGCTTCCAGATGTTCTGCCATTGAGAGACGCTGCCTGGAGACTACAAGGCACATAGAGGAGACGCTGGAGCATTCTTCCCTCCCCACCATCTTCAGGTGCCCTCCCTTAGGCTCAGTTCCCACCAGGTGTCCCAAGCTCCTGGGGGCTGGTGACGACCTCCTGCCCTTGCTTCATGGCTCCAGTTCCAGCTTTCCCAACACCTTTATGACCGAGTCTCATCTTTATTTCCCCTGGCGTGTGCTCTCTCTGACTGGACCTGGCTGATACTATTAAAAAAAAAAAAAATCACTCTTACAGGAAGCGGTAGAGTTGAGGGCTCTGGCAGGAGCTCACTGTCCTCTCCAGGAAGGGCCAGCTTGGGCCTTTCTGAAAGCAAGCAGGTGTCCAAGTCTGCTTGTTCATGGCCAACTGCCCGGGTGAAATCCAAAAGTCTACATACAAACAAGAAATGGTCAAAATTAATATACTACAGACCAACACAGGAACCCACGTCAACTGATTACTGTGCAATTAAACCATTAACATATTTCTCACAGAGTAACCACACTGACCATCCTTCACTGTGATGAGTCATTGACACGGACCATCTTATACATCATCTTGTTTCTTTCTTCTGCTTGAAGTGAGGATCTACCCCCTACCCCATTCCCACCTTGGAGACCTGTTCATTCCTGAGCATCCCTCAATTCAGTCACCCCCCGCTCCTGCAGTCTTGGCTGGGATACCTCAGGACAAAGTTCTGTCTCTGGGTCCCACAGTGCTGCATAGTGACCTCCACTAAACAGTGACTCTTCATTTGCAGGTTTCCCCTTGCCAGGTGGTCATGAGCTACATTTGTCACGTGTCCCTTTACTCTGCAGCTCTAGCAGCATATTCTGTGTCTGCCTGGATCCTTCTGGAACTGCTCCAGGACATGGCCAAGAACCACAGAGAAATGTTTCTGTCCTATCAAGTCCACAACCTGGTGGCTTTCAGGAGCATGGCAATGCCTGATGAATGAGTCAATGAATGAGCAGCCACTGAGTGAGTAATGTTCTAACTGTACAAACCACAGAACCAAGGCTCTGAGACTGTAACTGGGCGAAGCCAATGTGGTGCTTTACTCTTACCAACTTCAGGGACTCCTAAGAGTTAACTCTCCAGAAGATAACATTGTGATGACAGATCCTAGTCCTTTCACACAAGGCAAGTTAGAGGTTCAACCAGGTCAGAGCCCCTRTCTCCTGATGCTCAGTGTGCTCAGTTTCTGTTCTAATCAGCAGCAGACCAAGGCAGAGAGCAAGCAAGAAGGAACAGCTCATGGGCACAGGCTAATTCTTTTCTTCACCACAASCTCCACATAGGGAATGAAGACTCCCAGTTCTTAATTACATAAAATTGTGTAGGGGGAGACATCAATAATCTGAAGCTATAGTAGCTCTATTGTAAAAGGCTCCTTCAAAGCAGTACAATCAATACAAGAAACTTGCATCACAAAATCTCTATGTTCTTTCAAATTCACAATGAAAATTTATGTTAACCTTAGCTAACCTTATGTTAACCTCGACAAACTCATGTGGCTAATRTTCAATGACTTTTTAATGAACTATRTATGATCACATCTGTCCATCATTCTAATCCAATAAAATCCATTTTGGAGGAGGATATTTGTGCTAGATCAACAGGGTTCATTTGTTATTAAGAACTTGCAGTATTTTAGGCAATCTCAAAGAGCAAAATTAGATCCAAGTTCAGAGCCTCAGTTTTCCAGCGTGGGATGAGCAGATACAACCAAGAAAAATGTCCTAAGCTCAAACATGGGACCTGCTTTAGAAGGTACTGCCCAGTTACACTTACTCCATGTTGAAGATCAGGTTTTTAATACAGCCCTGGAATGATTTCCTCATTTTGAGCATCGGTATCTCCTCATCCTCAGGAATCCCTCCTATGTATAGGTTGGATATGTTTATTGTCTTGCTCTCTGCCAGAGCACTCAATTTCAATTCTACAGGACTGGTCTCATCCAACTGGACAGTGATAATTCTAAAAGAACAAAGGAGAAAATAAAATGATTCAAACTTAATAAAAACTGGCTCCATTTAAATGTATAATTCCAGCAAGCTCTTCCCAAATAATAAATTTCCCCCGAAATAAATGTTAATACAATATTATGTGCTAAAAAAGGTGAATCTTGAAAATTAAAGCTTAAAATTCTCCAGAAATGAATGAAATGCTATTAAACACTGAATTTGATTGCTTTTTAGTGAATACTTAGTTTTTTTTTTTTAACTTTTCTATCTATGATAAAAATGTTTTATGTGCTTTTAAAAACCATGGTCTTCCATTCTGCGGGAATTACCCAGGAATGTTGTAATGACACAATCTACTAATACTATATTTCCTGCTGCAGAATTAATCCAATGTAAAAGTTTATATTGGGCCTCAGTCAAGGGCAAGGTGAAGGTTGATCATACGTGAATATTCCACAAATATCTCACTGAAAAGCAAWTGAAACTGATTCCAAGGAAGTATTCAAGCCAGTTTCTAGAATTATTCTAAAATGATAAAAATTCTGAATGTTAATGATGTAATACTAATTATCTCATTGATTTAACTGCACAGGGTACCCTAACAAGAGAGCTTTTATCCTCCTGAAGTAAATGGCTTGCCATTCTACAGTACCTCCGATTCCTAACCAAGGAGATGGAATGCTCTTGTCCATCGCCATAGGTGCCCGTGGGAGCATGCAAGAGAGCCTTCCTCAAGCTGGTTCCATCCCCAGAACTCACGTGTACTTCAATGTGGCCTTCAACCAGCATGATGGAAAAGAAGGGCTGGGGAGATTGCAAACAAAATGCATTACTAGAATATTAACATTTTCATCTTACACAGATAATGTAGGAATAGCAATAGCAAACAATTTCTCAGGAATCTCACCATCTTTCAGAACTACTTTAAAGTTTTTAATTACTCTCTAAACTTTGCTCGTATAATTTATACTCGGCATTATGCTATCATCACTAACCATGTCAAAGATTTATTTTTACATAGCCTTGGACTTAGTATTTATTGCTACATAATGTACAAACAAGTTGAGATATTATGATTTGTATTTTTAGTAATGAAACTTTTAAGCCATTGCTAATTTTTTATTATCATACATGTAAACATTTAATTAAGATCTTTTTTTTTGCCTTCTAATATTTCTACAAGTGACATTAAGAGGTTGAAGGGTTTGAAAATGTTTAAAACTCTTCTGCTGCATTGAAAAGAGGTGTAACAATTTGTGAAGCCACCAGCAAAACTAAAATGTGAGTATTTACGTGTACTTTACTAGCGCTGCAGGATGCCATTTCTTTATGTAAGAAAACTTTGAATTGCAAGTAACCCTATGAAGATCAGTGGAGAAAAAGAAGAGTTTGGCAGTTCCTCAAAGAGTAAAACACAGAATTCCACTCATGAGTATAGACCCAGAAGAACTGAAAATAGGAACTTAAACAATTACATGCATAAGTTCACGGTAGTATTATTCATAAGAGCCAAAGAGCAGAAATAACCCAACGTTCATCAATGAACTAAGTGATGAACAGTGGGGTATACTCACAGAGAAATGCTATTCAGCTGTAAACAAGAGTGGAGGAACCTTGAAAACACACTAAGTAAAAACACAAAAGATCACATCATGTGTGATTTGATTTGCACAAAATATCCAGAACAGGTAGAGTCCATCTATAGAGACAGAGAGAAGACCAGTGGTTGTCTGGGGTGGGTGAGATGAGAAGTACTTCCTTACTCACCAAAGGTGATGGAAATATCTGAAATTAGACAGAGGAGGTGGTTTCCCTAACACTGTGAATGCACTCAATTGTAGTGAATTTGTTCACTTGAAAATGGTTAGTTTTAGCTTATATGAACTTCACCTCCATTAAAAAAAATATTGATTGGTGAAGCACACACACCAATCTCAAGTCATCATCAGTCCTTCATTCAGTGGCTCATACCATGTTTGGGGTTTGCAGACTTGTGTTCCAGTCCTGGCTCTGACACCTAACAGCTTTGGTTAGGTTAATTAGGCTTTCTAAACTTGGGGTTTTTTTTGGTTCCAGGGATTCAACTCAGGGGCGCTTGACCACTAAGCCACATCCCCACCCCTATTTTGTATTTTATTTAGAGACAGGGTCTCACTGAGTTGCTTAGTGTCTTGCTTTTGCTGAGGCTGGCTTAGAACATTTGATCTTCCTGCCTCAGCCTCCCGTGCCACTGGGATTACAGGTGTGCGCTGCTTAAACTAATTTACTCAGTAAAATAGAAGGAAGTAGCATCTACCTTGCACAGTAGAGCAGGTGTGTGGGTTCGAATTCATTAAGATGGCATATTAGTATTCTTAATGTCTCTTCCAATTAGATGCCACACAAGTTTGAGCAGAAGATAGGGTAAAATATCTCCTATGCTCTTGAAAAGGAATAAAAATATGGAAAACCATCATCCTCTCCCACTGCTAGTCCTGTGTTCATCACAAGCCACATTCCTCTTCCTGTCTCCTAAAGATAATTTTGATCCAAATAGAATGTAAGTACTTTCTGTTTTAGCCTTAAAATGAAGAGTAGCAACCAAAACATATGGAAGAAAACTTGGTATGTGCCATCTGGAGTAGCTTTAATTAGAGGTAGGCAGTAAATACCTTTTTTCTCAGTTACTAGACATGGAAGATGGATTATGCAATACACGAAATCACCGATTCGTAAGAGAGAGATGTTCAGTGGTTGTAACTTTCACTTATTGAGAGTAAATATGTGCAAAGAACTGGGATCCAGCTATAACACATGTTTATGAGTCAGAAATTTTCTGTTAGATGTTTCCAGAAGTCATGTCCTTCCTAAGCACGGAGGCTACTCACCACATGTGCCTGACGTCGATTCTGCCTCTCTGCATCCCTGCCGAGGGCAGCCAGGATGATGCCACTGTTGTTCTGGGTGGCAAATGTGGCCAGCAATTCCGATTCTGGTGACAAAGACGTGGGTGGCAACAACTCCACATAGCCGCCTCTCAGGAAGCTAACACTCTGGATAGGCTGGTCACAGAGGGGAGAGAACACAGTAAGTTCCCACGTGCAGGCTGAGGGTTCTGCCCACATCCGTCGCATCTCTTTTCTATCCACCCGATGGGCTGAGATCTAGTTACATCAGCATGTTGATAAACCAAGGACCATTTATAGAAATGCATTCCAATACGGATGAAAATGTTTCCCACCTCCAACCTACAGCCTTTTCTCACTCCATAGGAATTTCTGAGCAAATCAAAGGTTGATCTGGATATTTCCAGGTTCCTGATACAGCCCATATAGCTTTTGCTGGTGATACCTTTCCTAGAGGGAAGGACAAGAGAACAAATGCAATGAAGTTAGGTTTTATAATTCCATTTTTGAAAGACAGAATAGAAAATGGGCCTACGCACATAGAAAACCTATTCCAGACATCACTGCAGAAGTGTGTAGGCCTTCCTATAAGAACCAACACCTCCTAAGGACTAGAGCAAGGATTGAATTTACTCAGTTTGGCTACATGGTGGCTACTTATGAAAAGAAATATGTTCACTATTTTAAGGGGAACCCTTGTAGCCATTACAATTTAAATATACTCATTAACACACAGGCAGTTTTTTAAAAATTTTGTTTGTTGTTTTTAGATATTCATGATAGTAGAGTGTATTTTGATATATTATACATACATGGAGTAACTTATTTTAAAGAAAGGTCAAGCACCATCATGAGGAAGTTATAGCACAGAGATGGCAAACCAATCTCCACACAGAGTAGAACCCTGGGGGCAAGGGTGGGTAAAGTGACTTCCTAGGATCAGATGGTGAGAGAAATCACTGGCTACTGTCTTTATTTCATATTCAGGAACTTTGTCCCAAAGAAAATAACTGCATTTGGAAAAGTTTGGGAATTATCCAAATCCTTATTAATTAGCCTCCAATTCAAACCATATGTATCTTAACAGAAGTTGCCATACTCCTGATCAGGGTCAGGCTCTCCTTTCCAAAATATGAGGACCACTGAATATCTCTGAGCGTACTCTCGGGCGTTAGCTAATCACATAAGAGTCTGCAGTAACATGGTTTCCATGTTTCCCCTCACTGTTTTTCTCCATGGTGAGCAACCAGCTGTGGATGGTTTAGCAACAACAGGATTGGGGTGAATACTTCAAGCCTTGTGGATCTCAGTTTCTTCCCATGTAAATGAAGAAGCTGGTCTTGATGATCCCATGTCCTTTCTACCATGAACACCTGTGATTTGGGCTTCTGTCCTTTTCTCCAGTGTCTACACTATGTGTCATATAGGCAGAGTGCAAATGAACTATGACACAGCTGTGGCTATAGAAATATGCCTTCCACCCCTGGACCCCAGTCCCACAATGGCAGGGAATGAGATCTAGGATGATCAGGAGACGGGCTTCTAGTCCTGGCTCTGTCTTGATGGGGAGCTGAGGCATGGCGAGGGACTGACTTCCCTAAAGTTTAGATGTATTCATTTTGAAGACCAGGTGACTATGGTTGCAAAATATCCTCCTTGGAACTTTCAGAGATTTCTTGCAAAGGGAAGGAGGAAGTGAAGAGGTGGATCTGAGTTACTTAGCCATTGTAATTGGAATGGCTGTACTTCTGTGTGTCAGGGTTCTGTGAAAGAACTTGACTTACAAGATGGGCACTGCAGTTTGAATCTTATATTACCTCTACTGGCCGGAAGTTGAAGGCAGGGTCACCAGCCTGTTGTACTACTGCGAAGTGGCAGAACCTTTAAGAGGTAAGGCCTAGTGGAAGGCACTTAGGTGATTAAGGGTGTGCTCCTGCAGAGGACATTGGGACCCCAGCCATTCCTGTTTCCTTTGCCTCCCAGCTGCCATGAGGTGAGCATCTTTGTTCCACTATGTGTTTCCTGCTAAGACGCCTTGCTTCACCAGAGATCCAAAAGCAATAGCCTAATCAATCATGGACTAAAGCCTCTAAAACTGTAAGCCAAAATAAATCTTTCCTCCTTTAAAGTCAATTATCTCAGTTATTTTGTCACAGCTATGGAAAGCTGACTAACGCAACAGGGTACAAGGCATAGGGCTAGGAATGTACATTAGAGAACCACTGGGCTGTGGGATCCAGTTTGGACATCTGATGATCCCAGTCCTGGCCTTGACTACAGGCCTTTCACATGTGACTTTTTTTTTTAATAGTGTGAATAAAACTTAGAACTTAATTTGTACATTTCAAAGCTATAAAACTGAAGACAAAGAACCACAAAAGTTTATGTAAATCATTCAAGTTGCAAAGTTAAGTACAAGTCAGTGTTAGAAAAGGATCCTAATGTCCCCTCCTTTGTCATCGTTCATCCAGATTCCTGATGATCTTTCAACAGTCACATACATCCTTCACTGTAATCACACAAAGGGGGACAGATTCCAGATAAGCTGATGGAAAGCATGTTTTGTTTTGTTTTTAATAACTTGTTTTTATTGGTGCATTATAATTATACATGATAGTGGTATTCATTATGCCATGTTCCTACATGCACATAGTTTCATCATTCTCACCTCCTAAATCCTCTCTTTCCCTCCCTTCCTCCCTCCCCATGATCTGCTTACTCTGCTTTACTGATTTTTTTCTGTTATTATTAGTTATTATTTTAATGAGTATATTATATATATATGTATATATATGAGGTATATTTGAACATGGACATAGCATAATTTGGTAGATTTCATTTCCTAGTACTTCCCTGTGCCCTCTGTTCTTACCTCCCTTCCTCTACTTGATTGATCTCATGAAACTGCTCTTTTTTCAAATGCTTTCCCCTGATCCCGTCTCCACATATGAAAGAAAACCTTGGAACCTTGACTTTCTGGCTTTGGCTTATTTCACTCAGCATATGTTCTCCAGTTCTATCCATTTACCACAAATGATACAATTTTATCCTTTATGGCTGAGTAAAAAGCCATTGTGTATATATACACCAAATTTTCTTTATCCACTCATCTGTTCATGGGCCCCTAGGCTGGTTTCATATTTTAAAAACATTTTTTTGGCTTTAAAGAGATTATACTACTCTTAAAAAGTCTACAGAGGAGGATGCAGTGTGACAAAAAGAGGAGTGTCTCTATATACTGCAAGTTAACAATTTTTAGATGTACTAAAGGCAATAAGTAGAAAATCATTACATATTTCACAGAAGGCTTGCTTTACTTCTCAACTAATGTGGTATAGAGTACTTCAGATAAAAAAATGGGTTGTATAGATTGAGTTGTGTTCCCCCAAAGATGCAGCTGTCTTAACCCCCAATATCTGTGAATGTGACCTTATTTGGAAGCAGGATCTGTGCAGAGGTAATCAAGTTAAGATGAGGCTGTTAGGGTAGGTCATGTCAATAAGACTATTGTGCTACTATGAAGGAGCAACTTGGACACACAGGACACAGCAGAGGGAAGATGATGTGAAGTCATAGGTAAGATGCAATCTATAAGCTAAGGAGGGCCGGAAGCTACCAGAGTGGGGAGAATAGAACAGATCTGCTTCCGATGACTTTTGCAATCCTGGCCACACCTAGATTTCAGACTTATACCCTCCAGAACTGGGACAGAGTAAGTGTGTACTGTTTCAGCCACATAATCTGTGGTACTTTGTTATAGCAGCTCGGAAAACTAATGTGGTGAGGGATTAGGGACACAAAAATTCTGCAGTTTAATATCATACCTTACAACTCTTGACCAAGGCACTCCGCCTACATAAATCAGGTCCTTTTCTAGTCGATTGAGATCAGAAGATGGTCCTGGAGTTTCCCCTTGCTTGGTCTCCTTATCACTAGTGTCATATGCATCAATAACAGCTAGGAGTCCTAAAGGGAGATTAAAAGAAAGAGATAAAATAAAAATTGCTTTCTTCAGTAAAATAAAATGCAAACTTCGCTAAACAAATTGATTTACAAAGACATTCTTCTGAATTCTGCAAACCTGAACCAGCTTCTTGACTATTAAATGACGAGAGAAAATCCTCTTTATGAAGGTCAACAAATCCAGAATATACACTTTTAGATGATGGCAGTAGGTAGGTGGAAGAAAATAGAATTGGCTGGATTCTTAATTTCAATCAAGCATTTAATGTGAAATAAGGAAACCACAAACAGAATTATCTTATTCTTTCAACAATATGAGTCTCCTCTTGCTTAGCATTCCAAGGACAAGAATGGCTTTCAATTAGAGTGGCATTCAAGGATGTAGTCATGCCCCAGTGGGGTTATGGGCAGGAAAGTCACTCAAGTATACCCAGGAAACTAACATAGAGTAAARACTGCTGACTTTGGAAAGATGTTTATTCTTATGTGAGCGACCAGCATCAGGTAAGTGCATCCATGTATCTACCTTGCTTCCGGTTTCTCTGGAAGGCAATTTTGTACCAGCTTCCATTGTTATACCGTCTGTCTGTCATAAGAACAAGAGGTCCTGAACCCAGGTCAACTGCAACTTTAACTCTCCCCTGGACCAGCTCGATGGATAAGAAGTCTTTCTGTAAGGAAGAGAACAAAATTCCTGAGAGCCATGTCTTCATCCCCAAACTTCCTTTCCCTTCAAGTTAGGTGTGGTGAACACCTTCTAAAGTCAAACCAGAAAGATTGGATCTCTCCCCATAACTAGAAGTCTACTCTATAAAACTAAAAAATGCCCTTCATGGCTTCCTAGAACACACCCCAAATATTAATGAACACTATTCACTGCTATCAAAATCCACAATTCAGTAAGAGATCTGGATTCTTTGTGTCTTTTTCATTTAAAAATGACAAATGGGCCAGTTCTAAAAATAAACCTTGAAGAATGAGAGACAAAGATGACTAACAATGAGATTGCAAAGGGCAACATGAAGTCCTATGGATGGGATTCAAAGAGGGCCACTGTGGTCACAATGAATGCAAGAAAATATTTGGAACTAAAATTTAAGAATTAGCTTTTAATTGCTGTCTACAATGACTGGAAAGTGTGTTTCTACTTGGTGTTATTCTGCATTTTCCAAAGGTTCTTCATGAGTTTGTATTAATACAATAAATAAATGATATTAAATGGAAAAACTGTATGAAATACATGTGTTTATATTATATCAGTTTGTTAGCAAATCCTCATCAAATAAATAATCTTGCAGCAATTTAAATATACATACAAAGAGGGCTCAGTGCCCCCATAGACTCTTTATTACTATTATTAAGGTACACTGGGGATTTATTCCAGGAGGCGCTTTTCACTGACCTACATTCCCCAGCCTSTTTTATTTATTTATTTTTATTTCAAGACAGGGTCTCACTAAGTTGCTGAGACTGGCTTTGAACTTGGGATTCCCTTGCTTCTGCCTCCTGAGTCACTGGGATTACAGATATGCACCACCATTTCCAGCCGCCCTGTAAACTCTTACAGTGCCATTTGAAGCCAGGTAGAGAAGAAGACCATTAGGTGARAAGGTACTAAAGAGCATGATGATCTGAGTCACAGTGGCCCGGAGCGTCTTCTCTACAACAGAGTATCCACTCCCGTCAAAATGGAAGGAAGAGTCTTCATTCTGGGGGCTGCAAAAGAGAAGAGATGAAATACTACCCATTTTCAGGAGGGGAAAGAGCACAACAGTTGGAGCTACTAAGTTTTCCTTCTTCCAAATCATTTTTTTGCAGAATCATGGTAGAGTTATTATTTCCATTATTTAATAACAAGTATAAACCACAATATAGGCAGAGCTCCGCAATCTAAAAAATCTGAAATCTAAAATGCTCCAAAATTTGAAAATTTGAGTACTTATATACTTCCACAAATGGATAATTCCACACCGTGAAATGGCTTCACCCCCCCCCCAAATTATTTAAAATGTTGTATAAAATGACTTTCACACTGTGGTATAAGGTGTGTATGAAACATAAATGAATTTCCTGTTTAGACTTGGGTCCTACCCCCATGATATCTCATTATAGATATGCAAATATTCCAAAATCTGAAAAAATTCTAAATCCAGAACACTTCTGGTCTCAAGCATTTCAAATAAAGGATGCTCAACCTGCATCTGAAAATATACTCGCCATGAGATTATGCAAGACAAATGTCCAGGCGCTTCATAATGAAAAGAAAGTTAAGGTAGGCAGAGTTCACTGCAGTAAAAAGAAATTTCTTCACAGGAGGATAATCCTACAAATATTTCTGCTTGTCAAAGACATAAGTTTGTTTGTTTGCCCTAATTTCCTTCAATGTCCTTTTTTACTTCTGGTGCTTTCAGAATAGTTTTTATATAGGATTTTATTTCTCTCTGCTGGTTAAAACCAACACTAGGTAAACTGGATTGCAATGAAAAACAAATATGTGCCTGTGTCCTGGAAGGATAATTTTTGCAAAGCATCGTTGACATCCTCAAAAATCTGCAGGATGAGTCTAAAGCCCTGGATCATATTGAGGTGGATGTGCGGATTTCTAGAGTTATACAAAATGGCCCAGAGAGCTTCTCAGACCAGTGTGTTTTGTCCCACCCTCACCCCCCTGCCTGACATACCTCAAAAGGCTGATTTGACTCACTATTCAATTACAAAGTAATTAATTTGGATGTATCATAATTTTGTTTCTATCAAAAATAGTTTTTCTGGAATATAATAGGTCTTGAGAGTGGAACTTGGATGATAATGGTTTTTAGTTATGACTTTGGGCTTTGCCCAGTTGAGAGTATATCAACAAGCCTCACCTCCACCTCTCCAAGCAGGGTTGTATATATAACCAGTGAAATTGTTTCCATCGATGAAAAAGCAAAACAAAACACCTCAAGGTTTTATGAGACCTCAGGTTTCACATTTATTGCTACCTGCAGTCGTGACTTTTCTAAAAATTTCCATCTTGCAATTTCTTTTATACCTGAAACTATGGTTTAGTTCTTAAATGTGCGGCTTTCTAGAAGCATGTTCCATTGCTCTACTTCTTGGCCAATTAGCTTCATGTGACTAAGAACACAAACCCTAGAACCAGACTACTGGGGATCAAATCCCAGCCAGTCAAAGGCCCAGCACAGAGGCTAACTGATCTGTATCAAAGTCAGCCATGCAAGCTACTATACTACTGTGATAGCCACTCTTAACTAATACACAGATTATTCATGTTGATTAAATACAAGGTTTATCCACATTTACTTCAATGAGAAATGTTAGAACCAGTGGTTAATTCTGTAGTAACCTTTAAGCATTTCAGAGAGTAGCTGGGTATGGTGGTATACGCCTATATAATCCCAGCTGTTTGAGAGGCTGAGGCAAGAGGATTACAAGTTTGAGGCTAGACTGGGCAACTTGGTGAGATCTTGTCTCAAAATAAAATTAAATTAAAATTGGGGCTTAGAATTTAGCTCAGTGGTAGACTACTTGAACAACATGTGCAAGGCCCCTGGGTTCAATTCACAGTACCACACACACACACACAAAAAGAATTTAAGAGACTATTTATAATTATAAACATGCTAATACTATGTAAGGAGGTATAGTAATATATTCAAAGAAGAACAAAGAAGCAATTCCAGATGTACTATTTTAAAAAGAACTTGGGGGTCAAGTAAGTTTGGGTAATGCTGCAACTCTGGCGTCGTCCTGGGACAGGGGTGTCCTGCATGTTAGCATCTTAATAATTAATGGCTCTGACAGCTTCATAGCAAAGAAATATGTTTGACTTTTTTTAACTCAGAGTTTCCCAACCACTTATGATCAGTACACATTCTATAATGCTACTTTAAAAAAGGACTATCTATTCGTATCCTACCAAGCTAGTATTATCTTCAAACATATATTTTGGAATCCTTGGTCAATAAAGCCCAAGAACAGCCAGCTGATTTGTGAGTACCCAACAAAGCATGGTTATTAAATCCAGGGTTGATTGAGCCCGTGAGTCCACTTGGCCTTTACAGCTCAGCTGGGTGGCCAGTCCTGCATCAGAAAAACCCCTGAATTAACATCAGAAGGACAGCAGCATCCTCTGACCTCGCAAGCTCATCCTTCAAAGGCTGTGTGTAGCGGGGGATCTGGTAGGAGAGCAGGTGTCTCAAGAACAAACCCAGAGGCCACATAGAGAACTGACCTCCTCACCTTAACAAAAGAGAAGAGCCAGCACCATCATTAAGTTCACTCCAGGCTGCAGTCTAAGGTCACTGCTTTAAAAGTAACTCTGATGAAAACAGGGGATCACGTAACAGCTAACGCAGGGGAACATGTTCAATATTAGAAATATCCCATCTCTGCTAAAACTCTCTAACAGTGAGGTTAATGATGTGGGGTCAGTGGAGGGGACATACTCTAAGGGTTGTGATGCTTTTCAGATTCGAATTATTAAATTGCTGGGAAAACTTCCTTGGTAGACCCAGAGCTTAAGAAAAAAGTGATGGACCAGAGTCTGGACACTCCTGTGCATTCCACTAAAGTTCTAGAGCATTATTACCATCCTATAAGTTTGAAGTGTTTTATTTAAAATCATATTTTGCAATTTCAAAGCYTTGGTTTCTTCTAACATTCACTATTGAGAAAATACTCCTGACACATTTATCTAGAAAGGAATATACCACTGCAGGCAGACCAGTGAGGAACATCAGGGAGGGGTATCAAACGTAGAAAATATTTTCACATACACGATGCTGTATATTCATGGTAATAATTCTGGGTGGTGCGTAAGATAAGCATGATTATTATTTTTCTTTTCTGAAATAAGAAAAGAAACCTCAGTGAAGTGAAAACATTACCCAAAGTTTCCTAGAGAAATTTGATGGGAGACCTGGATAGTAACCTGTGAAAATTTAGATTCCAAACCCAATGTCCTTTTTAAGTCCTAAAGCTGCTGTAACCAAGATTCTGTGTATGTATAAACACACACACACACACACACACACACACACACACACACTTTCCCCTAGTGCTAGGAATTGAACCCAGGGCCTTGTGCACACTAGGCAAATGCTCTACCACTGAGCTACATCTTGGCCCTGGTCAGAATTTTTAAAGCAAGCTAAGCTGGGTGGAGGGGTGGAGTAGCAAATAAAAGGTTTAAATTACAAAATCCCGTGCTCTGAGCGAGGTGAGAAAGCAGACACGACAATGAGAAAATGAAAACCTAACCCCAAATTCAAGCTGCTTCTGACTGATCTTGTCATGACTCACTGTTAATTACAGATATCTATCTGGACAGAGGCAGCCATTATGTGAGAGAAGATATTTGATGTGATCCATTTTTCTAATGTCAAAAGACAATCTATTGTCTTGACTCTTAATGTACTAGAACACAGGTTTTATATACTTTAGGGAATGCAATCATTTTTGTTATGAGGAAGCAGAGTTGAACTGGTAAGATTTATAATCCTTTCAATTATATCAGCTTACACAAAAAGATGTTAGCTGTTCTTCATTTCCAAATGCATTTTATTCCTAAAATTATAGAACTCGGTTAGCAATAGGAATGTACTTGTCTATAAAAATCAACTGCATACACACAAAATATTCTCTTCCTTGGAGGTATTTTTAGAATAAAAATGCACAGTGATTTACCCAAGATTTAACTGTGTCTCTCTGAAACAGAAAGTTGTTTGAGAAGATATCTGAAATTTCTAGATTTTATGATCTAGGTTCAAAACATACAAGACAAGAAAAGCAAAAAGAGCACTTCTTTTTAAGTGTTTAAAAATAACATGCTGCTATGAGCAAATAATCTACAACATATCCTTTGTAATAAGAAGATCCATATCATAAACTCCTTTCATGCTTGATGCATGTGTAAATTCTTTAAGCAGTTCTCAGATGTAATAATGTGTGCAACTGAGGGGACATATTATATTACCTTGAGAAACAGCCATCGCACTCGCCCTCCCTTTCCACGTAGTTCCAGAGGCCAATGGATTTGCCATTCAGGAAGGCTTCTCCCATGCAGCCTTTAAAATGAGTCACCTTCACTGCAGAAGATTTCTAATGCAAACAAACACAACCCCCATATAGTTGGCACAGAGCATTTGATGCTTCTCCCTGAAGTTCAAGTTTAATAGATGCAAATTCTGAGAGAATCCCATTCATAAAAATGGCCCGTGTGGCATCACTGGATTTCCCTCCAGTTGGGAAGTGGCATCCTAGAATGAATGACAACTGGACAGGATCTTAAAGATCACCCCCATTACTAGTGATGTCAGGAGGAAAAGAGAAGTCTGGAGGATAGGAGATAAAATAGCATCCGTAGATATTTGCTGAAAAACTTACAAAAAGGCTATTTTAAAATCAAGACCTACGTGACTGGGGTCTATGTTTCTCCAAAGAAGGAAATACATGATCGATATTTTGATTATACTAAAATACCTCAAGGACACTCAATGCCTTACCCGGGATTGGGCAGAGGGCTGACTTCCTTAAATGTATAAATCTAAGTAAATTTCTAGATAATAGCCACTCTTCGGTATCCCTCTCTTGGGACCCCCTCCTCTTTGAGAGCTCTACTTTCTATTACTCTAAYAATTTCTGTTATTTTGCCATCATCTGTGTGTCTGTGAATTTTATTCTTCAAATTAAAGAGACAAAGCACCCAAATCCATGCTCCATGGTAGATTAGGGTTACTGGAGAAAAGCCCCTTTTATCAAAGGCAAGGAAACTGAGATCCAAAGAATRTGGTTGGTAGTGAGGGACCATCTGGAGCTGAGACCTGTCCTCCTATGCAGAGCACTAAGACCAACTAATATGACTCTATTTGGTGAGAAGATACTAATTCAATCAAACAAAGAAACACCAGCTCACCCAGGAAACACCAGTTAGTATTTGTCTCCTCTAGATTTAGACTAGAGATGACAGAAATTAATACAGAACATTGGATTTCTTATTTCATTATTGGAAAAGAAGTCAAACAGCAAATTTGGTTTCTTTTCCATTGACACTAGTGATTAAGCATGATCCTTTACCCACAAAACTGGCCCAACTCTGCAGCTGAGCTGTCCTGAAGCAAAACAATAAAAGTAGAAAAATCTTCATCTGCTTGGGATATATTGAAAAAATTAAGCATGGTATTATTTATACACAGATGAAAGTGGCCAATCCACCCTGTTCAAACAAACTTTCAGAATGTTACCTTGATTTGTCCCCCAAGTCCTCCAACAAACATTAGTGTTGAATTGTTTACATCCAGCACATTAGCCATTCCAGGGGATTTACTTGTTTTCATTGGTGGCTTTTGAGTTGAGCTCATTTCCTTTACACTCAATGAACCAACGTTTCCAAACCTGAGGGTCACACAATTGCAAAAGGGACTTTCAGAATCTCTTGTCATCACACAGGTATCCACATCTCTCTCACACACAGCCCCCTGCTTCTCTCCAGACCCGCAGCTAATCTCCCTGCTTCCAGTCTTGCCCAGTCCACCTGTAGTTTATTCCCCAAGATCTTGTAAAAAAGAGTTGTGTCATTGTGTTGCTTCCCTATTTAAAGCAGTCACAGATGAGTTAAACCACATTTGCATACAATTCACTCCCCTTCAATATGGCACCATTTTTTTTTTTGTAAAAAATGAAGAAAAAGATTCCAACAACAGAACATCAATAATAAACATAATGTTACAGAAAAGTGGAAAGAAATATACAGCTAAAGCTGCTCAGAATTAGTTACTCTGGGAGGAGACTTTCAAATGAAGAAGTTTGCTTGCGTTTGAACTAAAAAATAATTTATTGATGCTATATGGGACTCACTGATACATATCTGTACATGCTCACAATGGAACAATATCATTTGGTTGCATCTGAATTTTAGGAAAATATAATTCCAATGGCATCTTCATCATCTGTTCTCTTCTACCCACATGCCACCACCAGATCCATGAAATTTCTTTCAGGGTATATTTTATCCTCTCTACTGGAGAGGACTAAATATTTTACTAGGTTAGCTGTCTTGGATTTAGAGTTTCTATCAGTTATAAAAATATTCCAAACTTCTAAAGTTTTTCTTCTTTCAATAGTTGTTTTGGTAACAAAATTTATTTCATCTGTAATAAAAAAAAAAATTTCTGTAGTTAATCTAAGCCAAGTATTGATTACTATCTGACTTTCCAGAAGTTTCAAAGTCTATTCATTACATGATGTTGCAAGCATGTGATTACTTATAAGATACGGTTTAAATATAAGGGATGCTCCGAGGAACCCTCCCTGCTACCTGGTTGCATGGATGCTGTACCACTGGTTGTCATCAATGGGAAAGTCTGGAAATTCCAACCGTGTGGACCCAGAGCCCACGTCCCAGAGGAAGGCCACTTTCCCCCGTCGCATCTCCACTGCAAGGAAATCAGACTAGGGGGCAGGACACAAGGGGGATGAGTTTACACACTGATAATCTGCATGACCACAAGAACACTTTAAAGAATGAATTCTTACAGCTTTTTCTCTACTGTTTAAAAAATAAAAACAAAATGGCTATCTATTTTAGCAGTGCTGGGGACGGAAAACAGGGCCTTGACATGCTAGGCAAGCAGCTCTACACTAGCTACATACTCAGCCCCAAGAGGCTATGGTCTTTTGTCAAGTTTCTTTCCATAGGCAATTACTTTTGTAGTTTATTTTATTTTATTCTTGGTCCTGGGTATTGAACCCAGGGTACTTTACCATTGAGCTACCTTCCCAGCTCCCCCCCCCCCCCCCCCACTGCCCCAAGCTGCTCAGGCTGGCCCTGAACTTGTGACCTTCTTGCCTGAGCCTCCCAGGGAGATGGGATCACAGGTGTGTGCCACTGCACCCTGCTGCTGTTTCTAATCTAACACTACCATTTTAGTAAAGCGTGTTACCTGTGGGAAAATTAATGGTTTCATGAAAATCCTATTTTTCCATCAAAAAAGTATTGATTAGGGGAATTCAAACATTCACAAATATCTAATGCTGCTCTCACTTACACTGGTGCTGCTACCAAGGTAGAAAAGCAGGTTGTCGGGTTCAGGAGTCTTAACATTCAGTGTCAAGGTGTTGTAGTTACTAGAAGAAACCTGAGGCTGGTAGGCCCGGATACAGTCTCTGTCAGCAGCCACAGCAACTTTAATCTGCAGTAGGAAGAGAAAAGTGTCCCCATTGATTAGTGACCCAGTGGCAGCTCTCCAGCAGGTCAAAAGTATGATTTCAATTTTCACTGTAAGTTTCCTCTCTTGGTGACATAGAAGGCTTTGGGTTTCATAAAGTGAGGAATCAGACTTTGGTGAAAATTATTTTATTTGGTCAAATGATTAACCATGGGAAAGCCAGTTAAATGATTTTTTAAAAAAGAATTTAGCCTTTATTTTTTTTTTATTTATTTGCTTTTTATGTGGTGCTGAGGATTGAACCCAGTTCCTCACCCGTGCTAGGCAAGTGCTCTACCACTGAGCTACAACCCTAGATTTTTTAACAGGATATTTTATATACGAAATTGTCTTGCTCAAATGAGACAGTAAGGTCCTTAAAGACAAGAACCTTATGACCTTGAATCTTTCCACTGACCCACAGAGGATATTTGATGACCATTTGTCAAATAAATGGAAGGGAAATATATTTCTTCACTCAGTAAATATTCATGGAGCAAGTGATGCACTTACCAATTAACAATTTCTCCAACTAACAATTATTCCTGGGTGTCTTAACCTTAAAGATCCTTAGTTTGTATTAATCATGGTGTTTGGAATCATCCCTTGGACTTAGATTCCCTTAGCAACTCTCACTAGAACAGGTGGAAGCCAGAGCTCATGTAAACCTGAGTCCCTTTTCCAACAGTGAAGACTCTGGATAGGAAACAGAGCCCAGAGCTCCTTCTCCTTGCCTGGAAGCTGAAACTGGATTAACATGAAGACCAGAGGTCATGTTCATCCTCCGTAAAGGCCCATGAGCACCGTTGCACATATTCTCGAGAATCTTATTATTTGCCTGAAACATCTCTTTAGAGGACAGCCAGCACTGTGTGCCATGAATGGCTATCAAACATTTTATCAGCTTTGAACTTCTCCAGGTGTCAATATTTGAGGCCTTTAGTGATATGGATTTGTGTAGCACTTATGTGTACACAAACTTTTTTCTCAAGACTCCAGTAGGATGAGGCCCACGCTGCACATTCTCAAAAGCACTTGGGTTATTAAACTTAAATTGGCAAAATGAAGCAACAGCATCAAATGCAACCAATGAAACTGAGAGTGATATCAACGCCTTAGATGTAATGTCTTCTCCACCATCTAGCTTAATGGTTACCAAGCGAGGCTATAATCATAAATCTTCATAAATATATGCAGGTTGCTAGAAATCTTTTGGAACATTCTGTAGCAAAGCAGAACTCAGAAGAAAAATTCTACTTATTGGCTTTAAATATACTAAGACAAGGTTAGCAAGAAGCTGGGGTTATTGAGTTCCAAGTCTGCAAGTTCTAGGGAGGCTGGGGTGACTGAGAGCCAAGTCCACAGGAATTCTCTGGAACCTAGTGTTGCCAACAGCCTGGGCTACAGGGGTGTGGGGCATTTCTGAGGGCCCCACTCAACTCACAGAAGCTGCTTGTCTCCGTGCCTGGGTGATCAGCAGTCTAATTTCTGATAAATTTCTGCTCAGGTTCTCCTGTAACGTCTTCAAAGGCTTCAGCCGATCAAATAAAAGGTTGGCTTGTGTTTCCATGTCTTTAACTTTTCTTCCAGCCAACAGGGCTAACAAATACAAGGAAGTGAAGGATGGCAAGAGAGTTGGGGAGGAGAAAAGAAGATAAATTATTCATTAGTCATGCACTGGATAAAACAGAATATCCTAATAATCCATCCTTGAAATTTGGAAAATATATGAAAAATACACTGGCCATAAGCACTCCCCCAAGGCCCTTCTCCTTCTCTGCAAATGCTAATCCGGGTGGTAGCACATTTTTCTCTTTTAGGAATGCTGCTTGTGAACAGGGCACCATTATACGTCAAGCCAGCAGACTTTCAAAACCAGAGGGAGACCCCTGGCGTACTGGTCACTGTGGAGTCTTGCAGAAGTTCATTCGTCTCTTGCAATGTGGTGTTCATCCTGGACAGGCCAGTTGAGGTGTTAAACAGCTTCTGGCTCAGTCCCATGACATCCTTCAGTGTACTCAGTGCACTCTGGTTGGCAGACATGGCTAGCTCTTTGGTTTTGGTTCCTTTGACTCTCACACCTAAAATGAAAGAATATTCAAGCATGCAGTCAGGTGAAGACACACTGAGAAAAGTGTAAAACTACCACAAATGTCATTATTACTCGGAAACATGTTATGGTAATTTTCTTGATTATTAAACAAAACTACTTGTTTTTCATGGCAAATATTAAGACTCCCTATCATATGCTCTAGTGCATCCATGTAGGGACACATGATATAATTTGGGTAAAAATCCTCTGGAATATGACTTTAGTATACAATTGATCACAAAAACAATGAATGGCCCTGTTGTAGTTTCTTATGTAGTAGATAGAACTTCTCTATTTGTCCCCTTCTCTAGCATGTCCGTCTCATCTTTATTAAACATATTCTTTATCCACATCCTTCCATATTGCATAAGAAAATTCTTGAACTTAAGTCTGTGGTCCAGGGCTAGAAAAAGTGGTATCTGCCCACAGCACAACATGACCTGGCTGCTTGAAATAACCCCAGAATAGAGATAAAATGGCCACTAAAGGTAATGCAGGATCCAGCGATTCAAGAAAGATCTGTGAGGATTTTTATTTATTTATTTATTATTTTTTGGGGTGCACGGCAAACACTCTACCAACTGAGCTATATCCCCAGCCCTGTGAGGATTTTTAAAAAGGCACTATTATGCATTTTTAAAATGTTTAATTAATGTGGGGCAAAATAATTCTAGAAGAAACTTCATAAAAGTATATAACTATTCTGAAGATTGGTCTTACAACTTTTCTGTAAGTTTGAGTTACTTTCAGAGAAAGAGTATATATATTATTATCCTTGAAAAAAAAATTGTAAAGGAAAAGGAAAAAGAAATGTCCAGAACAGATAATGTTCCACTGATTCAAGGTGAGAAGTTAAGACCAGCATACAGGGAGCTATAGAGGCAGAAGTGTCTAGTGAGAATTAAAAAGAATGCATACACAGAATAAAAGAGAAGTTTTATGGTAAAGTAGCACATTGCAGCACTTTAAAAAATTATCCTCTTTAAAATTGTAAAATGAGTCCTGAATTTCCAAACCATCAATATTAACATGATCAATGGGCCTATTTCTGAATGTTGATTGCCTCAGGAAGGAAGATTACCAGGCAAGAATTCTTTCATTCTCCCCATTTGTAATGAATCTGGCATCCCCTCCCAAAGTCAGGGAAAAACATACGCTATTTTCTTTACTTATTGATCTCCTTGCATGACCCTTCTTTAACCTACGCATGTGTCAAACACACTTYCAAAGTAAGCAATTAACATGGTAGTATAGTCTCTACCGCTTTATAGTATAAAGTTTCTAAGAATATAATTCTAGTATTTCAGTGCAGGTATTCTGAGGTTATTTTAAAAACACCAGTGGATCTTCTTTTCCAATTAATATTCATTTGAAAATATAAATTTCATCCATCTCAGTCTCATTTTTAAGCTTGGGMTCCTAATCAGACTTGGGGCAGGACTCATGCCTCTGTGTAATGCTTTTACAGGAAAATATTAATTAAAACAAGGAACTCCTCTCTACTTACCTTCAGGAATTGCTCTAAGTATCAAGAGTGATGCATTGGTCTGTCTAGTAATTTCATCTGTGTTCTCTTGAAATCCATTTGCTCTGTGTCTCAATTTACTCAGCTTCAAAGTAATACCTATTTAAAAGAGGAAGAGTGCTCCTTTTTAGGTTAGCCTTCTAAGAAGCTGCCCAGACAATAGCTTTATCATTTCCAATCCATCTATAGAATCAATAGGTTTCTAAATACACCCCAATATTGAATGTTTTCCCAGAATTATAGAAATTAAGAGTGTGTTTTTAGCTGGCTTGATCAATTTTCTCCTTTCCTTGAAGTCGTTCTCACCAATATTTTTTCTTTCATTTCTTGCTCCATGGTGAGCTCAAGGGTGAAGAAATGTTCACATCACTGTCTCCATCACCCACTAACTTCCTTTCTGCTCCTGAATCTTGGCCACTTCTCTTTCTCTAGGTTGTTAGATCCCCCTGGGGCTCCTCCCTGGGAATTCCTTCACATTCCCCCACCGGCTTCCCCACCAGTTCTCTGCTCCTTTCTGTTCCCCCCTGACCCCGAAGCTGGGCTTTCCCTCCTTCAAGTCTCATCAGCCCTGTTTAATCAAAGCTTTTACTTTGAACATTTCTGTTCATAACACACAATCACACTGGATTTTGAACACGCGGTTGAAACGACATTTTAATTGCCAGGAAGTTCATCWTTTCATGGGCTGTGAAGTTGCTTAACCTGTGTCAGTGGAAACCAAGGCTCATCAATATGGATGCTGGAGTTTGTGACTGAGCATTATGCATTATTTATACTGTGAGATGACAGCATAAATTCTAAGTTGTGTTAGTCACCAGAGAAACAAGAAAAAACTCACATAACCAAGCCCTTGGTTCAGAAAACTATGAAAGATCCAGTAATTATTTGGAAATAATCTGAAAAAGCTATTAGCTTTGTGCATGGCCCACTGCTATACAGAAAGCCTGGATATTTTTTTTTATATTAAAATATGCTAAGGTAAAAAGCACATGATATGTGTTAGCATCCACATATCAGAGAGAACATTTTGGCCTTTGGTTTTTTGGGACTGGCTTATTTCATTTAGCATGATAATAGTCTCCGCTTCCATCATGCTAACACACAATAACAGTGGGGAGGGAAGAATAGAAGTTTGTTGGATTAGACCAAAGGGAATGAAGGTAAAGGAGAAGGGATGGGTATAGGAAAAACAGTAGAATGAATCGGACATAGCTTTCCTGTGTTCATATAAGAATACACGACCAGTAAAACTCTGCGTCACATACAATCACAAGAATGAGAAATTATACTCCATGTATGTATAATATGTCAAAATACACTCTATTGTCATGCATCTCTAAAAAGAACACATAAAAAAATCATGGAATTCTTGGGGAGAAACAAAAACAAGGCAACTACTTTGTTTTTTAAAATGTGTAAACCCTTCATCCGTCCTTATGAATGTATACCTGGGATGTAATAAGTGAATTTGTTGCTTATCTCAAATGAATATTTCATTTTTAAGGAAAAAATTAAAAATCACATTATATGTTATCAAAAATGTATGCCTATGTAGTTTCTCTTACACAATAGGTTCTTGCTGCCATTTTTTGTTATACTTATTGGATGGACAGCTCTTACATATGATAAATAATTGCTTCTTGAAGTAATTATAATAAAAACTAAATTACATGGTTTTTTAAATTGATAAATCAATTATTATTTAATTCAGTGGTTGTTTAATGAGAATCTATCATGAAGCTAGTAACATGATACTAGCCCTGCCAGAAAGGCAAGAGAAGTACCAAAAATAATGTATCTCTTCAAGGAACTGAGAAATAATGAATCAAATAGAGAAGCACTTGCAAGCAATGAGAAYTTAACCAACTCTAGGAAGAACAGAGAAGGCTCTAAGCTCAAGCAATAAATGAAGGATTTGGTCAGCAAGGAAGGCTGTATAATGGTGGAGCAGGCAAACTCCAAAATGTGATACTGCTAGAATAAAAGACAAAATTATACAAGGTCCAGATGACAGGGAACTGGAATATTCATGTGACAAAGAAATGTGAAGCTTCACATTACTCCAGGAAATGAGAACCCAGAATGTTCTTTGAGATGCTCAGAGATGTGTCTTCTTCACTCTGCTTTATCCAATTAATACACTGACCTTGGTGCTTTCTGTTGAGGTTGTTGCTTTCGCTTAGAAACCTGGCACTGCGCTGCAGAGCTGCTGTCCCATTAGAAARGAGGGATTCTGAGAACTGAAAAACAGAACAACTTAAACCTGGTGACCACAGGGCAGTGTGGAATCCTGCTGGGGGCAGAGAAAGCCACCCTGTAAGAACAATCTCTAGTGAGAGCCTCCTTTGCAAACAAGAATGTCAACCAGAGAACAGGAGGGACCATTCAGTATGAGGGAGAAACAGGAATACATTTTTAAATGTATAAAAGAGGACAGCCATTATAAAAAAAGATTTTCACTGGGCTTGGTGGCATATCTCTATAATCCCAGCAACTTGGAGGCTAAGGCGGGAGAATTGCAAGTTCAAGGCCAGCCTCAGCAACTTAGTGAGATCCTGTCTCAAAAAAGAAAAAGAAAAAAAAAAAGGAGCTGGAGATATGGCTCTGGCATTGAAGCATCTGAGTTCAATCACCAGCACCAAAAAAAAAAAAAAAAAAAAAAAAGATTTTCACCACAAGTAAAGAAACATGTGTCACATAGATATCAGGTGATGTTATTGTTTTTAATCATAAGGAATAGTGAGATTTTCCTTATTTCTTCAGTCCTAGTCTCTAGTGTTCAAAAAGAAGTACTTATGACTGTTAAAAATTTATAATGAGCTGGGCATGGGGGCATATGTCTTAGTCCCAGCTATTTGGGAGGCTGAAGCAAGAGATACTCTTGAGTCCTGGGCTTTGAGACTAGCCTGGGCATAGCAAGACCTTGTCTCTTAAAAAAAAATCAATTTAAATCAAAATGTGTATCCTATGATAACAGAAGTCATTAACAGATTCCACCAGAAAAGAATGTGAGTATATATTCGAGCCACTAAGTCTTTACTCAAGATCCTTCTAGAACAACCTCCCCTAGTGCCCAGAAAAGGAAGGCATACCCCGAAGCCTCAGAGCATTTCTTACCAGGCTGGTCTCACCCACAGTCCTGTGAGCATCGTTGGCCAGTTTCTCTGATTCTTCTGTGAGGCTCTGAAGGTTGTAGTGGACATGAGCGGCACTGGTGGCATTCAGGGTCACATGTCTGACATTTTTAAGGCCACTATCAAATCAGCATATTTAGAGATGTTATGATACACTAAATCAAATTTCTGGATTCACACGAAAATTATAAGTGCCCACTATTCTTGGAAGCCTCCTAGTTCCCTTCTCCTTAGGAAAGCATGGATTCTCCTTCAAATCCTCATTGTCACAGTAGCTCAGAATTGTTCTCTAATTAAAACCAGAAGAASAGATTATTGCTGTTTCCTTAGACAAACATTCCATCACTTTCAAACAGCTGCCCTCCACATTCCCTGAGCTCTGTTTAACTCTTTGCTTATGCTTAGGGACCCCTACTTATCTGTGTTGGTGATAATCTCTCCTACAAGGCACTTGCTAATTGTCAAAAAGTTTTCCTACACACATAAGGATGCTGGATCTCCTCCCTCAAATGGCACTCAAAGGCTGATGAAATTCAATAGAGATGTTGCAGGAAGATCAGATAATATTTCAATCAGCTGAACTCCATTCTAACAAGTGGGCCAATCACTTAGGAATCTGTCAGCTTGTAATGGCGCAACTTCATCCAGCTCTATCTAGACAATGAAATCTGACAACTGGTACATCTTTTCTGAGTAACTCACTTCATTTTCTTTCTAAGGTAATTGAGTTGGGCGAGTCCCAGGCCAGACATTACCAGTTATCTTCTGTTACTATTTGATTGGCAAAATCAGGTGACTTATAAATAAAAGCTAATAAAGTTATGTAACTCTGTGTATCATACAAAATTGCTTCTACTACTCTTATACTAAGTAATAAAGTAATAAATATTTTGTTCTAGTGATTCTTAGAGTCACAATATCTTTTTTCACTTCTGGGAGATGATAAAAGATGATAAAAAGTGTGAAGCACAGTATCTAATTCCATTTTCTACGATTGGTTCCTATGGCATGTGCTTGAAGCTGCTATCCATCCATGAGCTCACGATTTACACATTAGTCTCATATTGTTTTTGCTCACGATTTACACATTAGTCTATCTTATATTGTTTTTGCTCACAATTTATACATTAGTCTATCTTATATTGTTTTTAATTGCTTTTGTTGTGAGCTAATCTCTCATGGCAGCAGTTCCTAAATGCGGAGATATTTACTTTTCCCCTTCCATAGAATACACTCCCACACAAACACATACAGGTACCCACCTATCATTTTAAAGAAAAAAAAATGTACCAATTAATACCCAGGATTGTGTGAATGACCTGTAAGACCTAAAACATTGGCTTCTACATTTGCTGCATGTTAGAATTAATGAAGCATCTTTAAAACAAATTACAAAGACCAGTCCACATCCCAAAGAACTTAAGTGACACTCTTGAGGGAGGGAAGACAAGGGACAAAGGCTTCGATGTTTTATGAAGTGCCCAGGTTAGCCTGATGTGCAGATGAGTTTGGGAACCATTGGCTGACACTTGTGTTTCTGGTTTAAAGGCATTTTTAACTAAATGAGCACATATTTAATGAATATCCCAAAATGTTAAGTTAAAATTAAAGTTTTGTGTTACAATGGCAGCCCTTCAGGCAGTAGGAAATAATTGGAAGTGGATCTATCAAGCCTTGGAAAAAAGACCACTGACACTTTTATAGGTGCAGTGTGAGCATCCCTTCCATTCAACTCAGTTCCCAAAAGGCAAGATCTGTATAGAAATTAATATTCTTATGCAACCCGCATGCATCCTAACAAAGATCTGAATACTTAGTAGGTGCTTACAAAAACCTCAGTAACTTGATATTATAGTATACTATTTGTTTCACTTCTATTTCCGCCTCTGTTTGCATTTTCCCATCATGCTGGTGGTAAACTACAAGAGCAGACATAAGAGGAAATCTGACTTATGGCATAAATAAAACAGGAGTCCTTATTTTTACACAAAGAGACAAGAATGATTCACCCCTGCGATTGAAATAGCTGTCGTTATTCTAAGCAATGGGCCACTACTTCTGAAATTCCCCAAAGTGTGTGACCTTACCTGTCCAAAACACCTGCTAGTCTCTGGAGCTCAGTGGCATGGTCCTCGGCTCTGTGGACAAGATCAATTGCTTTCCTTTTGGACATCTGCATGACCAGGTCATCCACATGTTGCCTGAGTTTGGCAGTCCACAGAAGTAGCTCATCCCGGTGATGCTCCAACTGCTACATGGAGAAATTAGTTTTGTAAATATATGTACATCTGTTTCACAATGTCTGAGTACACATAGAGATGAGTAGTATGAGAATTCTTTGAAAGCTTTATTGTGGCTGAGTTTTAACTTACTGCTAGAGCATTTTGTGTAGTATCTCCATGGGCACTAGCCGCATCTATCAATCCTCTTCCTTTGGCAATTAGCTTTGAGGTCAAATTCGGTTCTTCTTGAATGCRAAGCTTTTTATCCTGCAGCAAAAATCACCTTTTAAGGTTGTTTCATAAAAGTAAGGCAGTTTCTGAGCTTTGGTGCCTAAGGCCACCTACTGAAAGTACTCGGGGCTCATTTTGTTAGAAGCTAAAAATGATACTGTTGACCTCTAAGTATTTGGTTACCAGTTCTAAATGAGACTAATGAGGCTAGTGAGACTCACTCTGAATTCTCTCAGATTGGCCTTGACAATGAGCAGTAGGCGGTTGGTCTCCTGGGTCTTGGTCTCGGCATCCCTCAGGAGCTCCTCTGCTGCCCTCAGTTCACTGTGGTGCTTTGAAAGGAAGCCTTTGGCTGTTTTTTTTAATACCTCCAACTCTTCTTGTGGCTTTTGGTAATGCTTCTGAACTTGTGACAATAAATCTTCAGCAGCCCTGGCAAATTAAATGTTTTACATAGTAAGTAAATGAACAAAAAAGCTCTTAGCTCGGGAATGCACTGGAAAGAATTTTTACGTGTTCACACCCAGTTTCTTCTTGAGATCATGAGTGATATATCAAAGTTATTCTTTTTTTATTTTTCTGTTATTTGGGCCTTGAGCATGGTAGGCAAGTGTTCTGCCACTAAGCTTCATTCCCAGCCCAGAACAGTTTTTCTAAGACAGCTTTTGGTCTGACAGATTCATACTTTACTTTTAACACACTATTTTCCACAAACTTCCCAACATGTTTTAGACATGTAATTAAAAGAAATCATCTTAGTGAAACTAGACTCAGAATATTAGAGCTACATTCTGTGTCAATGATGGGAACTGTGATGTTTCATTATAATATGGCAAGAAATTTCAAGAACAGGGCTATTCAGTGGTTCACTATGAATTCACCAATTTATTTATATGATACAAAGGATTTTCTGAAGTTGGTTAAAAAACAGACTTTTTAAAAACCTTCAAGTCAATTTTCTTAAAAGGTATTTTGCATCATTAATAAATGCAACCTTCAGAAAGTCAAAATAGCTTTTCTATTTCCTCATAAGTGTGTTATCCACTTGCTTATTTAAGTCAATTTTGCATTTACAGCTGCATAGAATATGAAAATTCTATATTATGCACATTGCAGTGGCCAAATACATTCCATTAATTTTCTAACTCAATTTTTCAGGTGAACTTTGAAAAATTCCATGGAAAATATCTTGTAAACTACCCTGAGCTTTCATAGGTATCAGATCACTGGGTTAAGACATGAGAGAAAATGTTATTCAAGGATATACACAAGAAAATATATTTGAACTCTGACACTGGAATAACATTAGAAGTTCTTTGAACATACTTATGATTGTTAATTATAATAAAGATGTTGTATTATGAATGAGACAACAAAACTAAAGCAGAGTTCATGGAAAGCACAAATCCAATATATTAAACATTTGATCATGATTGATCACTCTTGTTATTAAATAAGGTATCTTTAGGAAAATGTAAAATAGGGGTGCAACTTCCATCTATGAAATGACTTGACCATGGTGAAATGATACAGTTTCCAATGACTTGAACCCAGGAAGAACAGCAAAAAGCTCCACATTCTTCACACTGCAAAATTCATTGGATTAATACAGCAAGCCAGTGTGTCCCAGACTATTTCTTTATAATCCAACTGTTCCATGAACCATTAAGCAGGTTTCATGCGAAAAGTCTTACAGTGAAAGAAACCACATGACATTTCCCCAGCCCCTCCTTGGAAAAGTTAATGCACTAAAAGATTTGAGAAGACTTGCAGTAAAGAACTTGTCTCTCTGTAGCAGACACTATGTCTCCCAAATGTATCTGGCCATAGAACACTTTTCTTTAAGGAAATATCTTTCAATAGCTCTGGGGACATTGAAGTAGAAAACAGTTGGGAAACATAGCTACAAACAATAATCTGCAGCGTGTGGACATGAGTTCATGTGACAGGCTGGAGTCACTGGCCTGGCAATCCTAGAAGTATTGCCACTGGTCCCTAATTGATAACAGTGGCTTACCAGCTCAACTGTGCAAGCGAGGTGATTTATGCTGATACTGCTTTCGTTCTGGGAATCTGGTGTTTTGGTACATGCTAGGTATGATCAGTCCTATTATGGTTTGGATATGAGGTGTCCTCCAAAATCTCATGTGTGAGACAATGCAAGAAGGGTTAGAGGTGAAATGATTGGGTTATGAGAGCCTTAACCTAATCAGTGAATTAATCCCCTGAAAGGATTAACTGAGTGGTAACTGCAGGCTGGTAGAGTGTGGCTGGAGGAAGTGGGTTATTGGGAGTATGTCTTTGGAATATATATTGTGTATCGGTCAAGTGGAGTCTCTCCTCTCTGCTATCTGATTATCATGTGAGCTACTTTCCTTTGTCACACCTTCCTCCATGGTGTTCTGCCTCACCTCAAGCCCTGGGGATTGGGGTCTGCTGTCTATGGACTGAGACTCCAGATAAACATTTCCTCCTTTAAAATTGTTCTTGTTAAGTCTTGTAGTCATAGCATTAAAAAACTGACTAAAATAAGTCCCGGTAAGAACCATGGATTCAACATCTCTCATGGGCTTCCCTGGGCAGAAACACCACACCCATCCTGCATTTTCACTGCTAGGGAAAAAGTGTGCTCAGGGAGCCCTTCTGGAAAGAAGCCTTCATGGATTTCTCCACACTCCATTGCCTCCTTTTTCCTGGTTCAGCTGGGCATCCTCAATAAGTCTTGGCCACAAATTCAATTGTATGCTGAATTTTATGAGGCCTGGTGGTCTGACACAAACATCAAAAGCAACGGTTTGTGTGCTAAATCTGCTTACCTATGGGATTGCCCCATGCAAGCATATCACTAATTTTCTAAGAATTATAATTGAAGAGTCAATGATAACCCTTAAAATAATCCATGTAACTTGAAATGGTATAAACATAGGAATGATACATGTAAAATTGTGAAATGGACTCATATAATTTTTTTKTGTGTGAAGTGAACTCACAAATTTTTTTAAATAAAAGATTTTCTCCCTCTCCCTTCCTTTTTTACAGTACTAGAGATGGAAACCAGGGCCTCAAACATGCTAGAAGAACACACAAAAGGGATTCATAAGTCATCCTTATGTCTCCTTCCCCATCTCCTGGGACCCCACCATCCTCTGATCTCCCCCATGGCATCTACTTTATGGTTCTCTCAGGGACCCCTCCAAGTCCTAAGTAATGTCATAGTAAGTAGGTTCCTAGTCTGCTCTCCAAACTGCATCYATCTGCAAGCCCCCCATTTTATATTTCAATCAATAAAGCAACAATAATGCCAAAATTATGTAAATGACAAAGGAAAGATGTAAATCTAACCCTCTAGCAGGTTCCTGAAGATGTGTGTCTTGTTTTCAAAAATGAATTCTAGAAACTAATTTGGAAATGCACATCAAGCATCCTCAAGATGCAAATTCTTTGACTGAATGATTCTACTTCTTAATATCTACTCTGACAAGAAAAAAAAAAACCAAAAATAGAGAAAAATTAGAACTATGTATACTATCAATATATAAATCTTTGATATTTAAAAACAGACATATTGGAAAATATATAATAATCTTGTATGATATGATTAAAAATTGCAAAATAAATMATAAATAGTTTGAATATATCACTAGAAAGAATAAGGGATATTTAATATAGTCTTTAAGGCATTCATCAGAGCCTGGCAGAAGCACAACTTGTGTTAATACATCAAGTAAGAACTTAATGAAAATATGAAGAAAAGAACCTAGAAGGAAGTTTTGAGCTCCTGACCAGGCACAATAATTCTTCAGGATCTCTGTCATTTCACATGGTAATTTTCAATGAGTGCTTGTAGAACCTAGCTCAGTTATTCTCAGAGTAACGTCCATCTGTTTATGGCCTGCGTACCTATGGACTCTACTTCTGTGAGAGATACCCTTGCACTTGATCTATAATAAACAGAGTACCATGACGCTCTTTTGATAGATGAAATATAATTCAAGAGTGATAGAAAAACCCAGAACTATTTCACCATAGCACAAAGACAGATTGTAATGACTGTACTGCTTACAACCTCAACTCTGGAGGAGTCAGTACCCATCACCTCATATACCTAATAATGGTGCTGATGGGGGTCTTCTCTTCTTCCACAATATTCCATCTCCAGAGAGCACTTTTTTTTTGCCATTATTCCTCCTCCTCTCCCCATGTCCACCTTCCCATCTCTACTTGGTAGTGTTGAGAGTGATATTTAGGAACTTACTTGAGTTCAAGGGTGGCATTTTGGTGCAAGCGTGTGAAATTCCTTTTCTGTATAATTTCCAGCAAAGATGAAATGTTCTGTTGGATATTGTGAAGAGTAGAATCGGGTAGTTGAAAATCTTCATCCAAGGTCTGATTTAAAGTTGTTGCCTTTTCAAGGATTTCTAGGGACAAAATTCATCAATCATTTCATAAGTCTCATCAAAGCAGACAGTACTAAATGGAAGAACTTAGAATCTTCTTTGGTGAGGACTGTTCTGTCTACTAAGGCTGGGCAGGACCTCCACTCCACTCAGGCCAAGCGAAGGCATCCCGTCTATCCCAGCATGCTCTGCACATCCCCTAACACAGCACTCCTGAAGCTGGGATTACTGGTCTACTTCATGTCAATTTTCCTAAGTACCCACAAACTCCATGAGGGCAGGGACTAGTCATCTTGTTCCCCTTGGCATTTCCTTGTAGGTGGCATGGGCACAGAAGCCACCAACATTTGATTCTTCTCTTTTTATTAAGCATTTTTTATTCTAATAATTTTCTTACTTTCTGCCATATATAGCTTTTTTTTTTTTGCATTGGATTTTGTGCTTTTTAAGTCCTTGCACTATAATTCAAAAATGAAAGCAAARAATGTGTTTCTGGTAGCCAGAAAACTGAAAATAACCAAGAGTCCAAGGAGAACCCACTGTGGAGTGTGTGAATTACTCTATTAGGCTGGATGTACCTTGGCAGCAAACTGAAACCTGAATTCTTCCTTCTTCCATTCTGGGAGAATGGATATCAACTTTACCATAATGGGGCTTGAGAATTAGGATCCAAGTGTTAGGCATAAAATAAAAAAGGAAACATGTACTGTTTAAAAAAGAAATCTCTCAGTGGAAGACTATGGCCTGGACATTCAGGATTCTCAAATGATGAAACATTCCAGTCCTATGTCTGTAGGAGCTTAGCACAAGACACATGCATCTATCTACTCACACATCTAATAAAGCAATTGTGACTTTTCCCACCAAATAAGCTCAGAGCCCCACACAAGACCTGCCCWTCGTACCTCTGATGCTCTGATGCAGCCTCTTGATGAATGTGGCCAGGTCTTGACTCTGGTCAAGGATATTCTCAGTTTCCCTGTTCACCTGCTGGCTGTTTGCTAACACTCCAGTGAGCTGACAGAAAAATAAGGTCCTGGATTASTTTGACCTTAAATCCAGTTATTGCCTCTTTTAAGAAAAAAACTCTACCAGTCTATCTATCTATCCATCCATTCATCTTCCAGGATACAGAGTGAAGGTATACACTATTTGTAAATCAAGGCAAATGCTGGCTGGAAATTAAGTGGTTAATGTGATAATTTAATATTCAATGAGAGAAAAGATGGTATATTTTTACAAGCAGCAAAACTGACTATCAAACCACAGATACTCCCTGTGTCTGTTCACTTTAGAATGCAGGTGCAGTCACATGTATGTCAGTGAACGATGAGGACATGCTATCTGAGATATACATCATTAGAAGATATTTCATCACTGTACAAATGCCATAGTGTGTTTATACATACCTACATGGTGTAGCCTCTACACACACACACTGTATAGCTATTGCTCCCAGGGTCATGATGGACAGAAACTATATGAGATTAAATCAAGCACAAAGGAAAATGACACTATTAAGAGACTCAGTAAACATGAAATGTATGAGGCTATTGGCATAAAAGTACACAATGTATTAAGAGGAAAAAGTATACTACTGCAAATTGATGAAAGAGTTTCACAGCTACTTATTATCATTGTTAAGTATTATGCACTGTACACAATCCAATACTTACAAATACTGGGGGCTGCACAGTAGGTTGTTTACACCAGCAKTACCACATTTGCTACAATGATTGGACAGCCACAGCAAGACTTAAACAATAGACATTTTTTAGCTCCATTATAATCTTATGAGAATTCTGTCATATCTGTCCATCATTGACCCAAATATTATGAAGCAATAACTATCAGAAACGACTATATATCAGCAACCACTATATAGAAAGTCAAACCTTATTAAGTTGTATGACCTGAGAAAATTGAGTCCCTAAGAGTTAAGAACAAGGAGTCAGGCAAACTGGATGTTATTCCCAATTCTTCCAGGTGGTGGAGCTACACATCTCCAGCCTCATCTATAACACTGGGGTAATAATAGCACTATAATAACACTTACTAGCCCAGAGGCTGATACTTAGCACCCTTAACTATTATTTTAATGAAGAATTTCATAATTTGTAAAATGAAAGGCTGTTTGTAATTTCCAAGAATACAACATAACTCAGACGGGGCTTTAAAGTGTTTTCTAGTCATGACCAAAGAGAATCTTCTTTAATGGACAGAATTTATCAAGATCAGCTTATCACTTTCTACCAAATGTTTGTTTGCCGAAATACTGAAAGCCTACACTTAAACCCTTAAACTCTTTTCAAATTATTCTGAATTCTAAATTAACAAATGATAAACTAATACTTTCATTTAGTGTAGAGGCTTCTAGGTGTGTACGTTGAGAAATTTACAAGTGACAAATTGTAAATTTGACAATAGGCCTCCTGAGCCATCTATATATGAGGAGATTCATTTTAGATCCCTAAAACCCATTTCTCTGGCATGAACTGAACAGAATAAATAATTCCCTGCTGATAAGAAGACAAGTTGACATGTCACTTCAAGTCCCAAAATTAGAACTGCCCCTGCCTGAAGCCTGCATATTGGGGAATACTACAGACTGGAGTCTGTGCTATGTCCCATCTCCACCCAATAAATCACAGGAAGCTTTAATGGTCTCCAGTGGAGGACCTTGTACTCATCATGTGCTCAGTTATAAAATTAATTTAGAGGGAGGAAACCTGAAGAATACTTTTAATCCTACCCATACTCCTTAGTTCGGAAAAGACAATGGAAGTCAGATAGCAAAGCCACCACCTTATTCTTCCCTCTGCAGAGATGACAAAAAGTAAGTCAGGAGCCTTTTCCCACTAAACCACAGAAACTGTCAGGGTTAGAAAAAAATCTGATGATAAAGCATTTGGAGCAGCTCCTGAAAGAGGGGGCTGGTCTGACCTAATAAGAACTTTCCAGAGAGCCACAAGGCAATGGCTCACAAGGGCTGGGAGGGAGGCTGGGTGGAGAGCTGGTTTTTGTGCCAGGAACCTACCTGCTTTTGCAGGTCCTCCGTCTGTTCTGCAACACCTTCCAGTTGAATTCCTGCCCAATTCTTTTGGGTATTTGCTTTTAATAAAGACTCCTGGGAACAAAGGAAACATCACCATGCTTCAAAGTACAAAGTTCTGATTCTTAACAAAGAGTCACTTATTAATCTCCACCCCCCCTTATTTTTTGTTCACAGAAAGAAGTTCTACTTTCCTTGAAGTTGTCACTTAAAAATAAAGCAGCCCACATTCACTTAAGTTTCATTTATAGCTACATGATTCTATACTGCCACCCATGCTTTGTATTTCCCACATAGACATAAATTTATAGTCTGGTATGTTAGGCAGAATCAGAGATTGCTGCATTTCTTAGATAAAAGGTCTGGCTTTATTTCAGTATCAAAGTCATGATTTTTTTTTGGATGGTACTAGGGATTGAGCACCAAAAAAAAAAAAATGTCATAAATTTTAACTACAATTGCCAACAAGTTAAAAAATGTATTCAATAAACAAAATCATTTATAATTATTAAGTGCTTAATTTATGCCAACATTAATTTCTTTACTTGTTTGAATTTATTTAAACCTAACAACATTCCTATGAAGCTGTCATATTACTGTTTCAGGGAGGTTAAGTGACTTTCCCAAGATCACTGTGCTGGCAAATAATATAAAATAATAAGAGTTCACACTCTTAACCTTTGTTGGATACTTTGCATAAACATAAAAAGTTATTTCAAGGGATGGACAAGTATTTTAAATTGGAACAAAAAATTCAAAATTAGTTAAAATTTAAGTCAAGTATTCATGTCACTTGATAAATTTAAAATGCAGTTATACCCCAGGGGCCCACACTGGCAGAAAATAGAATTTGTTGATTGTATATATGATAGTTAGAAAATTTAAATATTTTTTATTATTTTAGATTTTTCAAATGGATAATTTCTCATCTTCCCAAGACATTTTTTGCTATTTGAGAGAAAATAATTTTTAAACATTCCTTTGAGTTTCCTAAATTTTCCTTGCTTTCATTAGAGAAAGGATCATTAGAGGAGAGTGGATCACAGACTCACCCCTACATCCCTACATGTACAGAAACACACAGTCACATGTCTAAGGAAATAGTAAGTCTGAGAAAAGCTTTTATTTCACAAAAGTCATTTAGAAATGACTATCCTTTTTATTACTGCATCACACAGTAAAGATCTCAAATTCTAATGTATAGGTATCAAGCACAATTCTAATGTATAGGTATCAATCACATTTTCTTCCCATGAAAATTTAAAGTGCCAGAGGTGAGTGCCATTTACTAAATCAATCTCTTAACTTCCCATCCTTTAACCAAACCTTGTTGACAAAACATTAAAGTGTGATTGATCCCCAGAAATTTTAACAGTTTTCTAGGGGAGGACTTTTGTGCCTTGGAACTTCAATTAAGAATGACATACTTAATAGAATCTCATCCTTCTTCAGCCTAAACCAACATTAAGGAAGATACTGTCCAGATTTCTTTCCTGTATTTGTATTAGGATGACTGTTTTCAAATATCCAAAGTCTGTCGAAAGAGGAGCAAGGGATTTTTGTTTTATTCCAAAGGGCAAAACAAGGACCATGGGGACAGACTGCCTAGATCTCCTTAAGGAGCAAGTCTCAAACCATAGAGCCATCCCCAGGGAAACAGGTGTGAGATGACGAGTCCCTGTCACTGGTCACCTTCAAGGCAATGCTGGAAAGCTCCCAGTGGGGGATGATGGAAGTGAGGCTCCTACACTGGGGGGCAGACAGAACACTCCTACTACTCCCACTGACTATCTCTCCATAACGCATGTCTGCCTCTGTGTTCTTAGTACCTACCTGGAGATATTTAGTTGTATTTTCCAGGTTTGACAAAATTCCATGTGGGACAGGGAAGATGCCAGTGAGGTTCATAGAAAGAATGGCATTGCCAACATCATCCAACTCATTCAGCAACACACCTGCACACTCATCATCACAAGCTAGGAGAGAAGGAAAAAGGGAGAGAGGTTTAAAGTTAACACAAAGTGGCCTGCCCTGTGTCCATGGGTTGTGTGAGCCATTTTGTCAACAATACAAGCAAAGAACATGCCAAGTTCCCAGGCACGACATCTAAACTCATTATCACTCCTGCTATGGGTGGGTGGGCAGTACCATACAATTGCCAATCCCCTGTTCTCATATGGTTGCACTGAGACTCAGATCAGAGAAGGGACATCTCTGGGGTTACACTGAAAGGAGTGCCTTCTGGTATGGTCATTATACATCCTCAACCTTTAAAGTGCTATTGCTCGTCTATAACTCAGGCCAATTGCAACAATCCCAGGACTCCTTCCAAAGCCTGGTCTATGACTTACTCAGAGAGTTTGCAGACTCTCCCTTGGCAAATGCAAATGAAGGACAATGGAGGAAATAGGTAATGCTACAGTGAGATTTGGGTAACACCAATGACAGCCCCACGGTGGTGTTTCCTGTCCTAGGATGACTGATCCTTGGTTCCACTACAAGAACAAACTATTAACACAGCTGAACTATTGAGCTAAAATTCCTGTGCTGCCTTGGGTATCAATGATGGTATCCTAGAACTCCTGCCTTGGCTTATAAATTCACTTCATTAGATGCAACAGCCATCTATGCTCAATTAAAATAATAGTATAGAATATAAAATAAAATGAGACTTTCAGCCTCCTGTTGACACTCTAGGTCACTATAACCATTTCTTTCCTACAAAAGCTAACATTGGAGAGGGAAATGTAGCTTTAAACATTTAGACAAGAAATACCCACAAACACAATTGCTTTCCACCAGAATGTGTCTCGGTTGACACTCCTGGCATCGGATCCCCRTGGCCCCTGGCCTGCAGGTGCACTGCCCAGAGATGCGGTCACAGTCGCTGTGAACAGACCCCTGTGGACTGCAGTCACACTTCTGGCAACTGCCACCTGGTATCTGAGGGTCCCCGTGGTAGCCTGAGGAGCACCTATAGAAAGGAAGATAATAGGCACAGACAGTGCAGTCAACACTCGTCAGTAAATACAGAAAGCAGCCCCTGCCCAAGGACAGTAACAATTTGTGCCAAATGAAATGCAAAGCACATATTCATCTCAGGAGACCCTGACCTGGAACAGTCATGAGGTCTCATATCAATTTCGCACTTGCAAATTGATCATGACTCCCAAATCATGATAGCAAATATGTCCAGTGCGTTATATGTATGTGAGGTGTCCCTAGTGATCTCCATGTGGTAATTCAAGGGCGTACCTTTCACAATATTGTCCTTCATAGCCCAGAGTACAGGCATCGCAACGGAAATCTCCATCACCTTCCAAGATGCAAGTGGGGCTAAAGCTGGAAGAGAATAAGTTTGTTTTTTATTTTTCCTTGAATTTTTCAGATAGGTAGCTTCAAATCTTTCATAAGGAACTTATTCATGACTATTGGGACATGTCATAGTGTTCGAAAAGTTAAGTGAGCACATTAGATGATTAGACAAGTATTTTAGAGCTTAACTCTGTTGGGGAAAACCAAGAAAAATAAAAATGTAATTAATATCAGTGTGCTCAGATCTTGCCTCCAAAAGACATTCAAGCAGCCCTTTCCAGTGACAGTCCTGTGAGGGCCGGGCAGAAGACCAATCTTAGGAATTATAACTAATTAGTCACCTGGGAAAACATCCCAGATAAAAACGGATCCTGTTCTGAGATTTACACAGAGAGTTACCTGCTCACCATGTGATAAAGTGATTAAGAGTTGAAATGACTGTGAAGCATGAAAGACAGCAGGGAGAAGAAGGCTGAACTGACACAGAAGAGAACTTCGTGGGCTGCAGTGAATGGCAGAGAAGAAGCCAGAGGGAAGAGAAGCCCTTAGATGGGATGGCAYTTGAAAACGACTGGACCTGCAGGCAGGGAGCAGGGCAGATGGTAGATGAGTAGAAGCCAAATGACAGAGCCCCTCCAAGTTTCATAAGCTGCTCAGATGCCCATCTCCTTCAGGGTCTTCAGCTTTGGGCTCATTTTTTTTTTCTTTATAAACTTCTCTGCCTCCAAATTGTAAATGACCCAGGCACCTCTAGAGGTTAAGCTAGGTACCTGCAAACTACTGAAAGAAAGCAAAACCAAACCCACTCAATCAGGTTTGGTTCCTTGCTGGCTAATACGATGAAGTGTCCAGCATGAGTGACCAGCCCAAGGCTACCCTGAACTGAAAGGTGAAATATCCTTCCAAATATTTCTCTGGGTACAGAGAGCCAATGTAGCTATGGATATACACATAGCTGTGTATTTTCTTTTTCCAAAATCACATTACACTAATTAGTCAA